GGGGGCCACGTTTTTGGAGGGGGAGCGAAGGGAGGGGGGAGGGGTCAAAATATGGTGGGGTTAGCTACATAAATAAATACCTAAGAGATGGCAGATCTAGCTCCCGGGTAAGTATATTTGTTGGTTATGCTATTAATCTTCCGGCTGGCCCAAAGCATTTACAGGAGCTGGGGTCTGGTGATAAAGGCCTAGGCCTCGAGATATGGCCTATGAGAGTTGCACATTAAGGTGTTAAAGAATCGTCAGGGTCATGCATTTTTACTGTACTTGGGAACATGTGTTTCGAGTTGAGTTGCTTTGCTGCTGCTGCTGCATATCATATTATCAAGCCTTTAGAATATGACGGTGAGACTAAAGGGAAGGTTCTGGAGAAAAAGAAGGGTTCCTTCTAGATGTCTGCCTAATTCAATCCGTGCATACGCATTTTTAGGCACTTTCCCGGGATGTGGGAGAGGAATTCGATCCATTGGTGAGTTGGGGTAATTATTCGTTACGTGCATATATATCAGGTAGAGCAGGCAAGAGTGATCTCAAAGTATGTGTGGATGGTACCTGTGTTGAACTAAGTATAATTCCTCGCAAAGAGGGGGGGTAACTTGCCAAAGTTGGGACCGGCATGGAATGGGGTTTAATATCCCTCATTGACCCGATCCGACGTCCGGATATCTCAAAGTCAACGAGCGTGACCAGCAGGAACAGCCACACTTATGTCATAGGTTACGCAGTAACCAGGTTCTCTCGGCTGCAGCGTGACGAGTTTCAGTTGTAGGTGTGCACGTGCACTGTTTCAGACCCTGTCACTTCACAGCACATCACTCACCCACTACTTTGCCAACTCACCACTTAACCCCTTAGGAGCATGTAGATGCGTACAGACTACATGTCAACATATGCATATGTGCGGTTTCCTTTTTGCTGGGGAAATGCTCCATCTAAAATTCTGATACAGGGTGTAAGTTCACGTACAAGCTCTACATATGTAGAATAAAGTACTTGCAGTAGAGCACTCACTGCATAGCACTCTACATACAAGTATGTAGGTAAGTTACCAGCTGGGTAGATCAGTATGTAGAGCACTCTGCCTGCCCTACTAGTTGCCTATCTGCTCCAGCTACCTATCACGCGGTAAATATCTCCCAAGAGCCGACAAGCTTGATCATGAGAGAGAGACAGAGAGAGACACTCCCACAATACTCTAGCCATAACCACCCTTACCTTACTTTGGAAGATTGGAATTTCTCCGGGAATCGAGCAAATAGCCCCCAAGTAAGAAGAATACTGATAGCCACTACAACCACAACCACTACCCCAACCACCCCTCCAATACGGGAGTTTCACTTCTTGCTCTCATCCTCCTCCTTGCATAGTGGATTATGCTCTTCTCGAATGACCCTAGCAGTGTTGAGAGGGCTGGTTTTCCGAAATCCGAAATATTGCCCGCGTTGAGCAGAACATCATGCGGTAGCACAGCGACCGACAACCAACAACCCAACCCAACGCAGCCCAACCCCCAGCTGCCCCTTGGTCCGTGCACGCTACAGCATGCAACAACTGACAGCAAGAACAACTGCAACGTAGGAGGTAGCTGTTTATGTACTCTACCTACGTAGAAGTACAGCACCAGCGACAACCCCTTTCTTTACTACGAATACATCGCTCTGAGGAGAATAGATAGCCTTGCGGTGTAAGTGGGCGGGTATCGGTACAACATAGATACCCTGTACCCAGACACTGGCACCTCCCTGGGCTTCAACTCTCCGAAAAAAAATAATTACATCCACATCCCATCCCATCCCTAACGTATCAATCAATCAAAAAGTCCTTGGCTCCCCCCCCCCGTCCGTCCCCCACCCCACACAATTCCAAATTACACCACGCCAAAAGTATGTCGTCAACAACTCTAAACTTATCTCTGAAGCAGCTCCCGCGGTCCGTCTTTACGGCGGAAAGCCTTCCGGGACTGATACGGGACGGATTGGACTTTGTCCGCACGATCCCAAACTCCCGCGAACACACGGCGGAAACAACGGTCGACATCAAGTGGGCCCTGGCAAAGTCGGATGCGGATATCAAGGTTTACAGCGCGACACACAATAAGGAGCGCTGGACGAGTAGGGCGACGGTCGCGCCAGGGGTGCCCTATGAGGTTGTGAGGAAGAGTTTGGCTGAGGAGAAGAATAAGGCAGAGTTGGAGTATCTGTGTAAGCCCGAGGACACAATGGAGGTGACTGCGACGGAATACTTTGAGGAATTGAAGATACGGCTGGAAGGTATGTTTGGTTTCTTTGTCTGGTACCTATAGTAGTAGTGTCTGGGATTACTAACTAACTAATGGGGGGCGACTAAACCAGATGTACACAAGTTGCTGCACGTCCAAGCGTTCTCTGCAAGGGAGTTCTTGGAAACAGTTATTTCTCACGACCTACCGGACTCTGAGAACGGACTGCGCTCGTTCATTGTTGTCTCCATGCCGTTAGAGGGCAATGTGAGGTCTGAATCCGCAGTTCTTGGCCAGTATGTGTCGGTGGATTATGTCCACGAACTTGAAGAAGGCGGAGTGGAAATACTCTTGGCTCTATGTGTAAGTTACCATCTACCCTCGGATGTCTCGATATTATATCTACTAACGCTACTATCCACATTATAGAGCGATGCGAAAGGTTCCATCCCGAGGTGGATGCAGAATATGGCGATGACTACTCAGGTGTTTGGTGATGGAAGGTTGTTTTTGGATTATCTTTTGAAGAAGTCCCAGGAAGGGAAGCAGTAGTACCAGTGGGCCGCTGTGTAATCGTCTGTAGCTGCATATTACCTCTTACTTTACTATAGACATGTTGTATAAATATATGTAATATTATACTATACTTACATGTATGTACAGACTAGAAGCAGGGCCCTGCTTTGCGATGCATTTTAGATTACATACATACAGCTTAACATCCTCTATTGACCCGCTGAGTGAGATGATGTGCGTAGGCTGAATTCATGAAAGGATGCGCCGATCCGGGAATGATAGTTTCGCGGGAATATAACCTCACATGAAACATGCAGGTTCCCGATGAGTTATGTATCAAATCGCGATGGTGTTCGGCATTGAGCCGTTCATTGAAACAGGGAGGGAGCGGGAAGTGCGTAATTAATAGCAGCTGCTGGTAATGATCCCTATTCGTCCTTGGCCGGGAAAATCATTGTCAGGCTTGAGATGGTCATGCCCGCAGCTGCATGCAGGCGGGGATAGATGATAAAAAGCCGGTGCTTATGTCATTACTCCCCTCATTGCCAATTGTGGAATTAGTTATTAGTCAGTTGAAAACATTTTTACTATTAGTTAGAACGTGCTGGCACTCATCCAATTAGGGAGATGGAATTCAACAACTCCACGCAGTTGTTTGTATGCACCCCCGAGCCAGAGCCTTGAATCCAAATCGATGGTTTCCTAGATTCAACCAGTCCCTTCCCCCAAGATCTGGCCCTTTAAAAAGGGCACCCTGCGGTCTGCCGCCTTATTGATCCACACAACCCACTCCGCGTATTTGACCATGTCGTCCATGTCACCCACCCCATCTGTTAAAGAAGCACGTCTAACCCACCTGAAAGTTAAGCTCAAGACCTACGAGGACCAGCGCGACACGCAGAACCGTGTGATAGCTGAGCTGTGGTCGGAGTATGTCAAGAAGTCCGAGGAGGAGGCTGCGTTGAGAATAAAGATTAATAGCTATGTCAAGGATAACACAGATGAGTGCAAGAGATTGGAGAAAGAGCTGGAGAGGGTTACTGGGGTGGTGCTGGAGCTGGGGGTGGCGAAGAGTGCGGCGTCGGCAGAGGTAAGGAGGTTGACGAAGAAGATTGCGGCGAAGAAGATTAAAATAGCAGTGGCGAGAAGCCGGTGGTTACCTGCGACTTGATATCGAAGAAGAGTGGTGAAATTGAGGATAGCGAGAGGGAGAGGGAGATGATAATTGGACAGGTTGCCTGGGAGTGACAACAGATTGTGACGTGACCTTTCCAATCAATTTGAAACAATTGAACAGAAAGTTTACCGAGAGAGTTCGAAAACACCATTCGCGGGATTATGACCAAGGAGTGAATGCTAATCATCCGGTTGTATTGGTTTCCTTAGTCGTGTCTTCACGTTAAAGATAATTGCAGTCATGGAATATCACTCGATGTATTGGTGGTTTAGAAACTAGATCTACAGAGTTCAGAGTTCATTGTTCGCCTCGAGACCTTGATTATGACAATGAAATCTTTATTTACTATGCATATACTATGGCTGGACCCTGAGATTCCTTTCCTCACTGCCCTCCCGGCCTATACTTGCTAATGTCATGACGTCAACCACTGGGTAAAAGTTTGGGTGCATGCCATCATCTCTCGTACTGCTGTAATCTCAGTAACTTGGTGTAGGAGCTCATGTTGGCCAATCCTTGCGCAGGCTGTCTTGTTGTTTATTCTTGTATAATTATGTATACGGCACCTCGAGGATAATGGTGTTCTGTGGTGTGGTTCGGGTTCTAAAGAAAGAAGCAGCGCAAAACTTTACCATGAACAGCACATGAGTTGATAGGCATGCATCGTTGGAATGAGAGAGATATACAGAATACCACTATGGGTAGTTTGCAGTGATCGAGGGGGAAATCAATCTTCTTTTACTTGCAGTTTTGGGATAATATTAGTAATCTTTTTTAGCTAAGACACCAAAAATGAATATGCTGTAGTTACTGGATATATAGATAAACCGAGAGATAGCGTGGGGGAAGAATAATAAAATTAAGGATGATGGAAAGTAGTGAATGCGTTTCTGATGGTGTGGGAAGCGAACATACTAAGGTGGGAGGCTCCTGGGTTCTGCAATCAACGACCTCACACATCCCTTACCCCTCCACACCTCGAAACTACGAGTTATCAAGTCACAGTCCCTCCTCGAATACCGTCAAAGAAATACCACTAAACATCTCTAAACTATCATCTCTGGCACCAATCACCCGCCTACCTCTGCAATGACTGAATGCGCCCCCGAATCTACCTCCACTGCTATCCCTCTATCTCCAGGTGGCAGTGCTCTCTCAAAGTTGGGATGCATCCACCTCCGCCGCAATCGGGCCAACGCCATCGTTCCAGTCAAGATCATTCCTCTCCCAACCAAGGCTGTGGAAGACAAAGCATCCACCGCCGACCAGACCGCCGCTATCACTGCACTCACCACTCCGGGCGCTCCGAGCCGTGAGATTGAATTTGAGCTACCGCCGGCGAAGGACTTGACTGAGGAGGAAGAGAAGAAGCTCGTGGAGGCGTGTGCTTGGGCGGAGGAGAAGAAGTAGCGTGTGGATATGGGCAGGATGAAGGATATTACAAGCTAGGTGGAAATTGGGAAGCAAGGAAAGTGGTGGGGCTAGAGAAACTTTTGTTTTGTGTGGAGTAGTCTCTGAACACATGACAGAATATAACATGGCTACATGTAGCTTTTTTTTACTGTTAAAAGTTTTCTCTAAGATGATTGAAATGTACGGATAGTATTTGTCATATACCCCGTAATTCATTGGAATTACTGCCGGTGATTGACCCGTAGCAACTAGCTCACCATGAACAGTTGTAAGCTTCACCCTAAAAATTGGACTATCTTAAGGCAAGAGTCGTTTATGTGAATAGGTGCTTTTTCATGAGCTGAAAACGCTTATTAGCATGCTGTCGGCGCATTGGTGTGGAAAATATTCTCTTGTGAATTTGACATCACAAGGTATCACTCGAACATGGCTACACTGAAAAGGAAGAAATTTGCACAAGCACAAGCACAGGCACCAGTAAAAACAGCAAGAGATTTAAATTTTAACCTTCTTTATCTATAGTCTTGATCTCCAGGCCCAGGTGAGTTGAAGTGCGGGCCTGGAAACGAGACTACCCTAGAGCCCAGTAACATCGTTCAGAGGTGTATGAGGATCATGAACTCGCCCTTCTCTTCCCTCCACTTCCCACCGGTTTTCTGAGCTGTGCCGAAGTTTCTGGTGCAATCGCTCGCCAGATTTGCCACTGCCTGCTTCACTTGCCCGAAGCTGTATCTGGAGCCCTTCACTCCACAGATGGAGATTTTGAGACTGCCACCGAAAACCCCTCCGCATAAGGTACATCCAGGACGACCGTTGGAGCCGTCAGACTCCTGGTGGCAGGCAATAGCACCGCTGGGGCCAAGATGAGTGATGATCATTAGCTCGGAGGTGAGGGGGGAGCCGGAGGTGGTTTCGCAGATGGTGTTGCCCTTGACGGCGGCAGCGAAGCCAGTGAAGGAGAGAAGGATCGCGAGAAGGAGGAGTGGGAGGAGTTTGAACATTGTAATTGTTTGTTGGTTGATGATTCTTGTTTTTTGTTTGTTCGTTGGTTGGTGGGGTTTATTGGGAAGAGAGAGAATCAATGGTATTTATCATGAAAGGAGCTTGGGTTTAACATTTAATTGGCTACGTAACTAACCCTAACGACAAAGTAAAAGACAAAAACAGAAAATTGAAATTTGAAAATCCTTTTTTATCCACAGTCTCGATCTCCAGGCCCAGATGAGTTGAATCGCGGGCCTGGAAGCGAGACTACCCTAGAGCCCAGTAAACATCGTTCAGAGGTGTGCGAGGACCGTGAACTGTCCCCCCCTATCCCTCCACATCCCACCAGTCTTCCGAATTCTGCGTAGGCCGTAGGTTTTGGTGCATTCCTTCACCAATCTTTTCAACGCCTCCTTAACTTCCTTGAAGTTGAATCTAGAGCCCTTCACTCCGCAGATAGAGATCTTGAGATTGCCGCCGGCCAACCCCCCGCACCAGGTGCATCCAGGACGACCGTTGGCGTCATTGGGTTTCTTCTGAACGCACAGAGTTTCGAAACCGGGGCCGGTCTTAACGAGTTCCATCAGCTCAGCGGTGAGGGGGGAGCCGCTACTAGTTTCGCAGATGGTGTTGCCTTCGATGGGGCGAGTGTTATCGAGGATAGCAGCAGTGAACTCAGTGAAAGAGAGGAGGAGGACCGCGAGGAGGAGGAGCGGGAGGAGTTTGAACATTCTGATTATTCGTTCGTTGGTTGATGATATTTACTTGTTTATTGCTCGATGGGGTTTATCGAGAAAAGAGAATGATATTTGTTTGTTTGGTTGATGAGGCTTGTTGAGAAAGGGAGAATCGATGGGATTGAGCATGAGAGGAGTTGGTTTTAACGAGTGATTCGCTGTGTAGTTAACCCTAACCAACCAACCCTAACTACATGTACATACATGTATGTATTTACAAAAAACAAAAAACAAAAAAAAAAAAGGAAAGGTTGCGCAATTGCACAAGCACAAAAATTTACATTTAAAAGCTAGCCTTATTTACCCATAGTCCTGATCTCTAGCTAGGCCCACCAGATAAATTGAAGTAGGGACATGAGAACGAGGACTACCTAGTGCCTGATACAAACACATTTTCAGAGGTGTACGAGGATCGTGAATTTGCCCCCCTTGTCCCTCCACTTCCCACCAGTTTTCCAATCTCTAGAGCCTCTAAAGGTTCCGGTGCATTCTCTCGCCAGATGTCCCACCGCCTCCTTCACTTGCCCGGGGCCGAAGCTAGAGCCCTTCACCCCGCAGATGGAGATTTTGAGACCGCGGCCGGTAAAATGTCCGCATAAGGTGCATCCAGGACGACCGTTGGCGCCGTTAGAATTCTGGCGGCAGGCAAAACCACTGCCGATGCCCAGATGGGTGTAGTCCCATAGCTCTGTGGTGAGGGGAGAGCCGGAGGTGGTTTCGCAGATGGTGTTGCCCTCGATTAAGGCGTCAGTGAGGCCGACGAATGAGAGGAGGGCCGTAAGGAGAAGAAGCGGGAGTAGTTTGAACATTGTGATTGTTGTTTGTTGGCTGGTGTGGTTTAGGGATAAATGGAAGAATCGGTGGGATTCAGAGGAGTTTTGGTTAGCAATCGATTTGCTAATAACTGATATTTGTGGGTTGGTGTGAAGGAGAGGAATGTAAAAGGATTGGGCGAATTTTGTTATAAATACATGTATGGATTATAGGATTTCGACCTATACATACTATATAACTGTCCGCCCACCGATTCTCCGCAAACACTGTTTCCCACAAAGTCGTTACCCGGTCAGCAGTTCAATAAACCTAAGGTTTGTCACTTGTATAAATAAATATGGTATTTAGAGAACAATGTTTACCCGTCCCTTGAATCAAAACCTCGAATTCCGTCCTGTTATACGGAGAAGAGGGTATTTGTTCTGACTAAAGTGCGTGCTCGTTGTAGCTGTAGCCTTCTTCACTAGAAATGTAATGCTCTCGAGTTTCTGTGTCTGTATGTAGATTAAAGCTTTATTGACCGTTTTAGATTGCATCATATATGCATGGTATCTTTTGGAAGATACATCTTTATTGATCATTCGACGACGAAAAGGGGGGGGGGGGGGGGGGGGGAAGGGTGTTTATATTTATTCCATGTTCGCTAAGGAAGCGCAAAATAGACCAAAGTTTCCTCGATAACACCTGTTATTTGTTTCAAATGTCGTTGTCCTTTGTAAAACAACATGCGGACACGATAGATAAAGTGGCATCCTGCGAAGGATGATGTTTTGCAAGCCTACATGTATGTATGCGTTAAACGTAGCACGAGAGAGAATCATACTTGAGGTTATATAAAGATGAATGCATTTATCGCGTGTAGGCAAAACGCAAACCGACATATATCAATAGACCAGAATTCGAGACGTGGTCCGATAAGCATGTATCCATACGAGCACATCCATCTGTCTAAAGGCTCGCTCTCTGTATTTGATCAAGAAAATTATAATAATTCTCGAATCTCGGTTTATGATCATCTGGACTTTGAGAGAATTTATAAGTCGTCACTTCATCCAACCTTTTTTTGGCGTACCTACTATAGCCTGCAGCTGCGGGCTGAACACAATAAATAAACCAATTTTTGGTGCATCGACAGGGGTGAGGAGATGCCGAGTGATTGCTCATGACGAGGAATCGCCTCATCATGGTTTTAATCATGAATACATGTACTTTCTTCTTATTTGTAATAGAACGTTTCCCGTTTTTCTCATTGTGTGAGCTAGTACTTGAGCCATGTAATCTTAAGATTTGAGATCTGGCACTTACATACATGTATGTACATGTAATAAACCTTTTACTTCCCCTGCTGTCTAGTGTCTTTCTGGCATCCCACAAACGAAGCGCACTACTGCAGTTATTGGTGTAAGCGCCATAATGCAAGTACCCATGGGCAATTCTAAAAAGATTACCGCATCTGTCAATTACCCTTTCCCGTAGCGCAAGGAAATATCCCGAACATCCTTCATCCCCAGTCGCTCTCACCTCTCACTTCACACCCCAACAACTTATCTCCTCATACAACAATAATCACTCGGCATCTCAAAGATGATAATCCCAGTTCGTTGCTTCTCCTGCGGCAAGGTAAGATCATCTCACTAGCACTAACCATCCACTAATAACTCCGACTAACACCCCCAGGTGATCGGGGACCTCTGGGAACAATACCTGCAGCTCCTTGAAGATGGCGAAATCGAAGCGTACTACCCCCCCCCATCCCATCACACTTCTTGTTAACATAAGGCTGGCTGGACAGTATGGCCATGGATAAACTCGGGTGCAGGCGTTACTGCTGCAGGAGGATGTTGATGACACATGTCGATCTTATCGAGAAGCTGTTGAGGTGAGATATCCATGCCTCAGGAGTTGGTTATAATTGCGTCGTTACTGATAAGTGGAACGAGCATAGGTATAATCCGGGAGGTTTGAGAAACACTAGCAATTTGATAAGGCTTCGTAATAGGCCTGAATAGAGGGCATGGGATCTGGGGGAAATATTTGCTGGATATTTCCTTCCCCGCAGCGATATAGGTGCACAGTACTGATCTTGCAGATCCGAAAGTCATGCCACCCTTAAGTCTGAAAATAAAAGGTTTTACAGTCTATGATTCCTTGTTTGCATGTCTGCACAGGTGTTTATTGTGTTGAAATCTACGCATGCATCTGCTCTGGGGTCGATTTAAGAGCGGGAACCTAAGGGCGGGAATCAAAATAAGATATGTCGCTGGTGGTATCTATCCAGAATATGATTTAAACACAAGGATCAATTTTTCCGATGCCTCCGGGGTTAAGAGGCTTGAAATCACCAAATATCACTCGCACGATTGACAGGATAAAAACTCACATCTACGCATCCACACGCGCGTCCTAATGCTTCTCCACGTCTTTATGTGTACAATACCCATACGCCTCTTTCAATACCCAAACGGCCCAGGTTTTATAAGTTTTGACCGGCCCAAGTTCTAGTCAGTCTGGCCAAGTTGATTCTATTTCCTTGGCAAGTCCAGTCCCGTCCAGTCCTACGCGTAGTATTGTCCTTTTGGCTTATCCCAGGACTGGGCTGATCCTCCTCTTACCTTTTCAAAAAATTTCTCCTGCACATGGTTGACCCTCGTATACTTTACAGGGCCCATAGTGCCCTAATTTTGAAGCTATTCGTGTAGGGGTGGTACGTCAAGCGGGCTTTGTAACTATTCTTCTAATCAAGAACACCTAAAAGCCATCGACTGGCTCGAGCTAGAGCCACTGGGAGTGTTGGTGTTAGGGAACGAAACGATACATAGATGTCCTGGTTAAAAGCACCAGCATCCCATAAGAGTCAGACGCGCAACACAAGAGCGCTAGAAGAATCAAATTGCAAAGCCTTCGTGTGCGGTGAAAAGCCAAAATAACTGAGGAAGAGTCAAAGCATCATAAGATCCAAAACTCTTTCAGAGCTAGACGCCCACAAGTAGTACAAAACTGCACAAGAGTCAGCACGGCAAAGTATGGGGCGGTAAATGTGTCAAAGGTAATTTTACCAACGGTAGTAAATTATTTTACCACCGGTGGTGAAAATAATACCAGTATTTGTACCCTATAATGCTAATTTTTATGATAAAAGCACAGACCTTTTGGCCAAAAGGGGCCATATAATGCCAATATATATGAAAATTGTCCACCGGTGGGGAATCTCACCATCGGTGGCGGTATTTCACCACCGGTGGGAAATTTTCATAAGTTTTGGCATTAATGATTGAACATTTACTTATTTAGTATAGCGCAGCATAAAGACCGAAACTCAGTGTTTATACCGGTGGAAATGTACTAATGTAGGATAGCGTGCAGATACAATGACTGAAATTCAGCGCTTATACCACCGGTGGTAAAATTACTTTTGACACATTTACCGCTCCATAGCAAAGAGCCAAAAAAACAGGAGTGTCAAAATTCGTCGTTTCCCTGGATGAGTTATTCAATGTATTAAATACATCGGTATGTGGAACTTTGATATCTAGATAAAAGAGAGAGAAGAAACGGAAAGAGCCTAGGCCACGAGGAAGAGCCAAAACCCATTGAGACGAATAACCATGATGAAGAGCCACTTTTAAGATGCTCAACTCCCCCCAAAAGCTAGGCCACACCAAGCTAACACCCTAAGAAGGAAGATTTAAACTCCTACGTCATGAACGGTAGCACGGCGGTGTTGCGTAAACGTTCGAGGGCGAGTAGTGACCGCATCATAGGTTATCACTCGGCAACACGGTTGCAAAGGGTGGGGTATTTGGCTTTTCAAACAATGTCGATACCTATCACTGTCATGTCGATACTTGTCCTATCCGTGACTATATAAGTACATGTGGTTGAACTCCTTTTCGATAAACGAATCAAGTTACTTAAACATCTAGATCTCTTCCTACTTTTTCGGCGGGCATGGTGATATGGGCAAGTGACCTAGCTGGAAGTGGGTTCCTAGCTTGGCTTCGTGATTATTATATTATTACCTTTCTACGATTTATACTGGCTTGTTTTTATGCCCCTGCTAACTATGGGGGAATCTATCAAAACATGGTCCCTTTCTCTACTAACAGATTGCGGTATTGACGTTGTGTGTCCAGGTCTAATCCTCTCATTAGCAGCTTCGCCGAAAGGAACGACAGGAGAACTCACATAGCTCCCCAGCACCAACACCATGACCGCCATGCCCACCAGCACGCTCAACCCCGCATAGACATACGCATGCCCCCTCCTCAACCCCCTCACCTCCACCACAAACGTGCTAACCGTCGTCAAACACCCACAGAACCCATCCCCCACGCCCCTCACCACACCACACGCCGCCTCCCCGCCCACAACCCTATACCTCCCCACACCCACCCCCGCCAGCACCGCCGTCCCCACAACATTCACCGCAAACGTCCCCAGCGGGAACGTCTTCACAACAGGATTCACCCACCGCCCCACCAAGAACCGCGTAGCCGTCCCAACAGGCGCAAACAGGCACGCATACAACGCGACCTCCCGCCACCTCGGCACAAAAGCGCACAGCAACGCCGCGCCCACCCAACACACTCCTGCCAGCGGCACCGCCGCCCAGTCCAGACGCGGCAGCGCCAGCCTCAATGGCCGCGCAAACATGGCGACCTGCGCGCCGACCTGTAGCCCGCTGAATGACAGCGAGAGCGTGGCGATCAGGTAGCCCAGTGCTGCGAGAAGGTTGTACCCGCGCGTGGGGCGGCCGTCGTATGCCGGGAGCGTGTTGGAGAGGTTCTCGAACACGCCGAGGAGGAAGCTGGAGAAGCTTGTGAGGCTGCCGCAGAAGCCTGTTGTGAGGCCGATGTAGAGCGGGAGGGACGGGTTGTGGCGTGAGAGGCGCTGGTCCTCGACGAGGAAGCCCATTATCGCGCTGCCGGTGAAGTTGGCCCAGATGACGCCGCCGACGAGGGGGGCGCCGGGGTAGGTGGTGAGGGCGGTGAGGCCCAGGCGCGCGAGTGTGCCGAGGATCGAGAAGACCGTGAGCCAGCCGAAGGTGTAGAGGAGCTGTAGGGGCTGCGGGGCGGGCTTCTCGGCGGGGGACGGGGACGGGGACGGGGACGAGGACGGATGGGATTGCTGCTGGAGGACTGAGGCGGCGGTGGTGGTGTTCTGGCCGGTGGAGGAATTGGGCTGGCGGGGGGCGTCCTCGAGGTGGGGGGCAGCAGATGTCCCGGGTGGGATGGGAGCGGGCGCGGCGACGTCGTCTTGGCCGGTGGTGAGGGTGTTGGGGGCCATTTGTGTTTCTGGTGCTCCCCAATTGACTGTGCTAGCTAGAGTGGCAGCAGCATTGGTGGGCTTCGATAGGCGTGTGTTTAGATCTAGGAACTACAAGCATTGTGTACATAGAGGAACAAACAGGTGCCGAGAAGCCGCGATAAGTAAACAGCCTGTGGGGTCGATGTACATGTCAAGATCTACATATACACATCGGGGTTCTTTGTGGGACTCTGATCTGAGCCAGGGCAGGTATCCACAAACAACGTAGGTATTACCCCATTACCTACGTATGTTCCACAGCCGAGAGAGAGCTGCGATAAGTGTTCTGGGCGAGGATCAATGTTTATCGGGCTCTCCCCAGACAAAGCTGCCCCCGTCGGTCCTTGGCAGCACGCGAGCCAATCAGCGGGCGACAGCCGATAAGGGGAGCTCGTCGCGGTCGGGACCTCCCGCAGAGGGGCAGCAGCCAGCCAACAAAGAGAGCTGTCCCACCAGGTGACCTCAGTACATGCAAGCAGAGCGAGTAGAGCAAGTAGAGCAAGTAGAGAGACAGACAGAGCTGCAGAACAGACAAACAGAGACAGGTAGAGAGAAGGAGAAGAAGAAGAAGAGTACTTGGCTCCCCACAGCTCCCCCCAACCTCAACCTCAACCTCAACCTCACCTCAACCTCACCTCTCCCCCCACCCACTTCCACTCCATTGACCTCCCCACCAGCACCCAAACCCATCCCATCCCATCCCATCCCATCCCATCCAATTCCATCCATCCATCATCAACCCCACATCACATACAATCACACAATGGCCGCCCTCCCCTCAAACGTCCACATCTCCACCCACCCCTGCCTGCTGGCCAAACTCTCGCAGGTCCGCAGCGCCTCCACAACACCCAAAGAAACCAAGCTCCTCATCCACGAGATCTCGCTGCTCCTCGCCGCCGACGCCCTCGCCCGCGTCCTCACCGCCGTCCCATCAGGAACCACAGACGTGACCCCGCTCGGCGCCTCATTCGACGTCCAGACATGTGCTCCGGCCAGTATCACACTGGTGCCCGTGCTCCGTAGTGGGTTGGGCATGCTTGAAGGTACCCCACCCCCCACCTTACTACCTACCTACCTTTCTATAGAAATCTAGATGGATAGCTAGCTAACACACAACACCACAGCATTCGAGACCCTCCTCCCCGCCCCCGTCCCCGTCCACCACCTCGGCCTCTTCCGCGAAAAGACCACCCTCCAGCCCGTCGAGTACTACAACAACCTGCCCACGCGCGTGGCCACCAGCGGCGACGGCGCGCGGCCGTGCGACATTGCAATCATCCTCGACCCCGTCATTGCCACGGGCGGCACCGCGGAGGCTGCCATCCAGACGCTCAGGGAGTGGGGCGTCAAGAAGATACTCGTCGTGTCGGTGCTCGGGTCGGCCGAGGGCGTGCTGAGGGCGGCGACGGAGGGCGGCGGGGAGGATGTCGAGGTTGTGGTCGGGGCCGTGGATAGTGAGTTGGGGGGGAAGAATGGGGGGATGATTGTGCCGGGGTGAGTTTGCCTTTTCTTTCTTTTGGTTTGTGTGTGGGAGAGTGGGGATGTGTGCTAATTGGTGTGTGTGTGTGTGACAGTATTGGTGATATCGGTGATCGTTTGTTCTTGACGATTGGGAAATAGACGTGTGCTAGATCGATGGTCGAGGCGTTGGGAACAGCGGTTTGTTTCTGAGGTTTTTTTGCGTTCTGGTTTAGGAGATGTTATACCATTCGTGCTTTGCTCTTTTTCTGTGCGCTGTAAATGTCGAGGATGAATAATGATTGTCTCGGTGTTACGTTTCTACATCTGGCTCTTAAAGTACTTACGTTATATATCACGGTGTGAATGAGATGTGGTTTGAATCATTGGTTTTATTGGGGTTGATTCTATTTGAGTGATTCGTTCGGGAAATGGTTCGAATCGTTGGCCTGGTTTAAGTGGTTTAATAATGATTTGAATCATTGGCTCTATATGGCTTGAGTGAGTGATTGATTCGTCAATTACACACAATTAGAATCAATACTATATGTCAAGGATACTTCCTAAATATAGTCCTATAAAAGCCATATCACTACCGATATCAATACTATATGTCAAGGATACTTCCTAAATATAGTTCTATAAAAGCCATAACTATCACTAGGTACCGCGGCCAAATGGGTATCACCAGATACAGTAACAGTTTCATAGTAGCAGTGCGAGTGAGGGTCCGTGAACCAGATAAAACACAACAACCCTACTAAGCGATGTTACAAAACCACTGGTCGAACAGTGCTCTTGCAACCACGGAACACCGATGCTGTGCAATATATCGCAAACACCATACCACACTACACCACACTATTCTACCCGGGATCACCATGCTATAGTACCAGGGTGTAGCTTGCATACATATACCCATATCTGTTTATTCGTGACCAGTGCCTACGACCGCCATCATTCCCGTCCCGTCCAGTCCAGTCCAATTCCAGGGTAGAGTAAAAACAAAGCACGAAAATCGGCAAGATAAGAATTTATATTCAAAAACAGCCCTTAACGCCAACCAAACACAACTGCCACTGCCACTGCCACTACTAAGAAGAAGACGAGGCTGAAGGCTTCCCGGCGGTGTCAACCTTGACGCCGCCAAAGATCCTGTCCTTGACCACACTCGAGAACAGGCCTGCGATCTCCTCGCTGGCAATCTTGTTGGAGTCCTTGACGACCTTGTCGAGCTGGCCTTCTGTGGCGCTTGATTTGCCGCCGCTGGAGCCGGCGGGGAGCAGCGAGGAGCGGTTGCCCTTGCCGGAGCCCGAGAAGAGCGTCATCTCGGTCTTGTGGATCTTTTGCGAGAGGTCGAGCATCTGCTTGGTGGAGTAGTCGCGGTTGGTGAAGAGGGGGGACTGGGATAGGGTTGAGACCCAGTACTTGTTCCATAGGAGGTCGAGAAGGTGGGCGTCCAGGGAGGATTTAAAGTGTGAGATCTCGAGGGAGTAGTATCTGTAGTTAGGATTGGTGGTTAGTGCGGGAGGCTTCTGAGTGGTTTAAAGTTAAGAAAAAGGCTTACTGGCTGCTATGGGCACCGAAATCCTCGATTTTACTCAGTGGGATAGTCTGGTATTCCCCGTCATCGTCACCACCCTTGGCCTTGTGCCCCTCAGGATACGTCCTGAAAGCTCCTACATCGACCTTTCCAGCAGAGATGGTTCTATCGGGGTCGATAACAACAGCAAGGAAGGGGTCCAGGAACTGCTGTTGGTTCATCTGTGTGTTTACATCGATACCTGACAGCCAACATCCATACCCGGGATGAGAGTGGTACCAGCCAACCACGTTCTCTGCTCGCCCAACAGCTTTCTCCGAGGTGTCAAAGGCACCCATGTATTCGTAGGCCTGGTCATGGGCGTTGACACGTGTTTCGGTCCCCTCGACGGGGAGAGGGAAGGCGTCCATTACTATGAAGGTCTCGTGGGCGATTTTTCCTTGCTGCAGGCGGGACTGAGTTAACCATCGGAGGCCCAAGTCAAGGTGGATCGTGGGAAGAGAGAGAGAGAGACCATCAAGCCCATGATTTCAAGAGAGCCACCGGAGCGGGCGTGCATAACCATCTTTAGAAGAGCTACGGCAGAGATGCGGACTCTTTTGAAATAGTTGGGATTCTCTTTCCATGGCCGTTTCTCGTTGAGTGCTCTGCGCACGGTGGTTAATAGAGAATTTCATCAAACTAGGAAGCTTGGGGCTGGAATACTTTTGTTCAGCGGCATCATAGGTGTAAATGCCGTCCTTGGTGGGGTCAACGAGAACGATGTTGTTTTCGAACTCTAGCCAGACGAGAAGTTAGCTCTACCAGGCCTGTTGTACAGAGTGGGGCAACCGGAGCAAGTATTAGTGACGTACCAAACTGTTTTTTAGCTGAGGTCTCCATGATGGAGCCCGAATTGGAGATATATTGATAGATAGCGCTCCAAAGTTAAGTTGATTCACACGAGATGAGGGGAGCTGTCGTTGGAACAAGCTGCTTGCTGCCGTTCGTGCTGACAATGCACTTGTCGTTGATGGAGGATCTGCACCTAAACTAGGGCGCCATAGTGGGGGAGGCTCAACAGGCTGAAACGTTTCAGCTTGGCTCGGGTTGGCAGTTAAAGAGGCCGCGATCCCTTGTGATAGGCAGTTTCTGTGGCAACAGAACGTCACCCGCGTCAAAACATAGCCAAACAATCAATTCCCTGTTACTATTACTGTTTGTGTTCCACAAGCATCTGGGCTGTGAGGTCACAGTCTTTAATCTTATATCGTCCTGTTTCTTCCTGCGCGACGCCTTCTTCTCTTCTCCTTACATTCTGCGTTCCTTTTGTTGTTACCTCTGGCGTGTTGTCTGTCGCTCGACACTTGATCATCCACTGGCTTGACCAGCACCAGGGACCTTGTTTCTCTCTCCTTTCGCTCTTTCGCACGTTCTCACGATTCACGCGCCCAACGCCGCTTCAAGACAGTCGATCTGCGCGTCTATTTTCATCCCACTTGTTTCATAACACTTCCCCCCGCAGCCTTACTTTTCGCTGTGTCTGCCTGCCTGGTTTACGAACGTAACGACACAATGGATCCTTCCACGAATAATTCGATGCAGGCTGAGCTCACGAAAGCTATCGATAATTTACACGGTTTGTTTGATGAAATCGGCCTTTCCAACTCGGCGCGCGACGCCCGCGAGGCAAGCGTCTATTCTGCATTGAATACGGTGCTACAGAAGCAGTTGGGTTTAGTCGCCGAGTGCGTTCGCCCCCATCCCCCCCCCGCCTTGCCGAATTGATTGGTTGAAGCACAGCGGCTAATAGCCCACCAATAGAGAAAAGGACCACCTGAAGGAAGAATGTCGCAAGCTTATCGTCTCGATAAGGCAGATGGAACAATCGCTTGATGACAGAAAAAGCAGCTCCAGCGAGTGTAACGATCAACCTACGACCCCACTACTCAAATGTTTACGAGGATTGAAAGAGAAACACGAAAATTTACAGAAGCGACATACCGAAAGATACGAAACCATCCGAAGTAAGCCTCTGCACCTTCTAAATTCTAATATATTCTATCGCGCTAACCTTGAAAAAGCATTATCGCAAGCACTAGAACAGTACGCCTCTCGACTCGAGCCTGCAACACTCCAGGTTACTCTACCCCCAGCGACAAATGATCCCGCAGCTATCGCTTCGCTCGACCTTTCACATTCTTATTATGAGAAACTTAAAGAAGAATTTACGCGTGTTTATCAAGAATTTTCACAGCGTGCAAAGACGGTCCAATCCATCTCTAGGGAAATAATTAATTTATACAATGAGTTGGGAATCCCTAAATCTCAGATCGATAGAAATGTCGTGGAATTCGGAACTTCGCAGCCGGAGCGACTGGGGCTGTTGAATGATGACCTAGATCATCTGAGGGGGAAGAAGGATGTATTATTGGCCGAGAAGGAAAAGAGGAATGCGCAGATCGAAGACCTGAAGATCGAGATTGGCGAACTATGGGAAAAACTTGGTGTCGATCCACAAGAACAAAAGACATTCCTTGCTCAGCGTAGAGGCTACGACCTAAAAACAATCCGCGAGGTAAGATTTACTAATAATCATTTAAGTGTGCGTAGACAATGGCTGACAATAGGAATTGCAGCTGGAGAAGGAGCTTGACAGGTTAGTAGAGCTCAAACAGGAGAATCTCCATAACTGGGTCAATGATGCTCGAAAAACTCTCTCAGACTTGTGGGAGAAACTTTACTTCTCAGAAGAGGAGATATCGTACTTTTTACCTGCTACCTCAGATGATATGTCTGATGCTCTTCTTGCGGCTCATGAACTTGAAATTCAGCGCCTGCAGGATCTCTACAGTGAGCGCTCGCCTATAATAACCCTTATTGACAAGCACCGCTCCCTCATTGAAGATCGCGAGATACTTGCGACCACTGCCAATGATGCGTCTCGCCTTATTTCTCGTGGAAATGGGGGGACCCGTGACCCGAGTCGTCTTCTTCGTGAAGAGAAGATGCGGAAACGAATTGCGAAGGATCTCCCTCGAGTTGAATTGGAATTGAAGAAGGAACTTGAGCAATGGGAAGACGAGTACGGCGAGCCATTCACGGTCAAGGGGGAAAACTATCTTGAGACTTTGATGAGTGCGAGTGTCGTGTATCCATCACGGTCTGGTGCTAGAACGCCTGGACCGACACCTGCAAGACCGAGATCTAATACAGCAGGAGCCACTCCCCGTCCTCTTTCGAGGGTCGCCAATTCTACAAAGACAGCAACGACACCAATCACAAGGCCGAAAACTCCAAGTGCATTGCCCTTGAGATCCAAGACCCCTACAGTAGATCGTACCAATCTTTCCCATGGTTACAGCGCCAGCATGAGCGCTACTGTCGGTAGATCTGGAGGCCGAGCGCTGGCAACTGCATCATCCAAAGAAAGTATTATCCATAGATCGGGCGCAAAAACTCCTGGCCCCGGAAACCGTATAGGCCTTACGAACAGCAACAGTGCCAGTAATCTTAATGGTATTAATAGGTCACCATCCAAGTCTTCCATGAGGGACAATAGATTGCCCGAGGGAAGCCATAATATAAAAGAAGGAACCCAGACAGTTGGTCGATTTTCCACCATCAAGCGTAAAACGCCTCCGTTGTCAAACATCACAGCTCCGAAAATGCAGTCATTCTTCTCCCAACCCTCCAAGACCTTACAGAGAGCCCGGGCTGGAAGTGAAATCAGCATCCGCTCCGTGTCTCCTGAAGAGGGAGATCCTAGACAGGGAGTTCGCCAGAAGCAGCTACACATTCAGCCATCGAATCAAAATAATGGATACAACTCACACAGCAGGGACATGTCAGGGAGCTCTATAGACTCTATGGCACGGAAGCTCTCGCTCACTTCCTCAACAACATTGACGAGTGGTAGTGGCAGTGAAAATTGGGAAACATTTGGTGCTGATAGTGAGTTTGGGGACGCTGATGAGGAAAGAGTGGATCCTATGGAGAGATACTACAAAAATAAGGGTGAAGGTTACAGTGAGGAGGCAAGGAACGGGAAAGGCGGGGGGATCGTTTCAGTAAGGAGCGCAGAAGAGTGGGATGATGGGTGTTTTTAAGCGTTCTTGGTTGGGTGATGGGATTTAGGACGGAGCGGCACTTACGTTGCACTATTTTCTATGTCGGTCTAGGAGTTAGGTTCATCGGGGATTTTGACGTCTTCCTTTGTTTTTCTTTCGTAACCTTCTCTCAACACTACTATTTTCTTGTTTATCCTTAAGATCGATGCCTGCGGCCTTTTTTTCTTTCATCAGTTTTTCTCTTCCTCAAACCATTTCCTATGTACTACTCTCTCTCCATTCATTTCCTTTTTGTCTCGGTATATCATGGGGGTTTGTGTTAGACCGCACTATCATCATGGCTTTAGGCGGCAGCTATGTTGGAATGACTGATATCACGATTCAATGTTTCTGTCTGATGAAGCGGAGGTTATGGATCATAGCGCGGTTGTTTTTTGTACTCATTTCTTATCTGTTGGGCGTGTTTTTCTCATTTGGATATCGTCCGTGTTTTATTTTAGCAAGCGAATAAGTGTTATTTCTATTCCCTCTCCCATAGTGACCACATAAGCAAAGATACAGGACAGTGGATATACCGTAAGCCGAGCCACTTAAGGCGGTGATAATGCACTTCGCTCATACTAAAGGAATTCGGGTTAGCTGTTTCCTCTCACCACGCAACTGAATTACATAGCCCCTCTCCAAGGAAATGAGGGGCATCATTGATTTGACGATCAATTATATGAGATAATTCATCGTAGCTACGTAGACCTAGTCGATTTCCTACCAAAGCACACCCACCATACGGTAGAGGTGTGAGAGAGCCTTTGCGGTTCATACTGGTAGGGGCGTCAACTTTCGCACATTAGAGTACCTTAAACCAATTACCTAGACAGGCAATTCGCATCGCCTAAACAAGTATTTGGAATTAAACTTTCCAGAAGAGCAGCTGTTGTGAAAGCCGCCAAGACACGAGTGATGCCTCATGAATACGTTACTCTCTACAGAGATTACGAAGCTCATCGAGTGATTATTGATGTTTGAATATTATTGCCAAGTCTGGATCATATGTGCAATCTTACATCCTCGATAGGCCGCACTTCAAAGCTTTGAGAAAGTGACATGGTGAGTAGTATTTCTTTTATAATCTCTTTTCATTACTGTACTTTCATTTAACACTACATGTACCTATGTCGAGAGGCACAAGCACATCAATCGCTGAGGGTATATCATGAAGCATAAGCCCGGCTGTTTTAAGAGAAAGGAAAAAAGAAATATGAATCTACATAATTACCCAAAGTTTCACATGCTTTTGTTTATCTATTGACTCCCCAACTAGTGTAAATCAATTAACCTGTCCTCTCATGCTAAGGCCACACTACTCCCTTAAATCACCATGCTCTCAACACTATAAACACCTAGCACCAAACTCTTCCTCAGTCCGTTCTCCCTCGCTCTCTTCTTCTCTGTCTCCCTCTTCTCTACCTCCGAAGGCAATCCTTCTACCTTATTCTCTCGGCCCAATGTTGCAGGCGACAGCCCAAGAGGTAATAAAGCACTGCCTCCAGCCCTCTCAGATGGGCGAGGTGTCTCTAAAACGGCTCTGAGAAGCCCTGGCGATGCACCCTTCCTCACGCCCACGGTTCCTCGTGCTTTCATCGCACTCTTGAGAAGCTGCATGCTCGGCGTCTCAGGTGCCTTCCCACCCTCTCGTTTCGGTGTTTCCAGGATAGATGCAGGAGCAGTGGCAGGAGCAGTTGGAGCGGTACCTCTAATCTCAACTCTTCGTTTCAGGGTAGATGGAGAAGACCATTCAGCGTGGCGGAACATTTCCTCCAATATTCCTTTCAGGCCAGCAGCCTCTTCTACGGCGTCTACGGCATCTGTTACTTCCTCATAGAGTGAACCTACGAGAGATTCGGCACCGTCTTGAAGGATGAGACCGGATATGCCGACTGTGTCAAGGGCAGCGGTGAGTAGGGATGACGCGATGCCAATGTCACCAATGCTGACGGCGACTTCTGGGGCATCAAAGTCATCATCGTGTTCGTAATCATAGAGTGATAGCTCGCCGCGAAGGAGTGTTATGAGGGCTGCAAGATCGTCCCCGGTAAGTTGAGATTTGAAAGTAGCAATGACAGAGGAGGTGGGGAAAGTGTCGAGCCTTACGAGGGCCAATCGAAGCACTTCAGAGCGAATGACTTTGAGTGCGAGGTCTTCTTCAGTTTCTGGGGCACGGAGCGCGATGCTGACCGCAGCGGCCACTTCGGTGATCTTCAACTCGGGAACGGTGGAGAGTGCCCATTCAAGGGAACGGAGGGTGGGGTCGTAGGTCGCAAGTGCATTTACTAGCCCGGGAGGGGCACTGGAGAGATTTCCGGACTCGGCGAGGTATTTTACAACATTGGGTGGGTAGAAAGTAATCTTTAAGCCTCCCTCCTTGTTCTCAGATGGCTCAAAAATTAGAGAAATGACTGTGCTGACGAATTCGTGAAGTAAAGGTTTAAAAGTAGTCTTGGCAAAAAACTCTGGGAGCGCGTTGTTTGCTGAGGTACCATTTGTCATGGTCGTATCCACATCCTGCATATTCCTTTTGATATTTACGTACTCTGCAAAAGTGGCCTCGAATGCTTCCAAGTCAAGATCCTTCTTTGCATCTTTAAGCCCGGCCAATGCAGCATCCATCTTCGTCTTCTCGGCCGATAGCTTTAATGCGATTTGTCTTGCTGCTGTAGTTCGCCCCTCTTTGTTCACGTCTGCAGGAGCATCGACACCAACACCACGGCAGAGAGAGTCAATGAGCAACCCGGACTTACGGGCATCGCCTTTAACACCAGCGCGGGAGAGCTGCACTGCTGCTATACCATTTTGGGAGTATCCAACTGCGAGGTCTAGATCTGGCAGATATGAAGATAGTGCAACACCACCCTTAACAGTAGAAGCGGGAGTTGAAGCTCGAGATGTTGCGGGGGTGTTAACTCCCGTGGAAGGTTGTATCGGGACGCGGGCTTGTAGAGAGGTAAATTTGGTATCGTAAAGTGAGATATCCTCATTGGTGGCAACCAGTACAGTTGATGAGGAGATTCGAAGCAGAGAGGACGGGGTAGGATCGTCTTTAGAGTTGGATGCGATCTTAAGGGAAGAAAGCACTGTCGGTACTGTAGCTGAGAGTGAGAAAGTAGTTAAATTCTCCGTAGAGAGAAGGTTCAGTGTCGCAGTTGGGAAGTGAATTGAGAAGGATGCGAGTTCTTCGTCTGCGGTTCCTGGAAGAGGGAGCACGAGGAGTTCACGAGGGGGTTTGTTCTCGCCGGCAGTGGGGATTGTAAAAACCCTTGCCTCGAAGATAGATCCATTATGGGTCACGGTGAAAAGAACTGCATCCTCGGGGGCCTCTTCTTCCTCAGTGGGTACAGCTGTCGGGAGCACAATATCCAGACGATCCTTCAGCAGCGCTTTCTTCGCCACGTTCAAAGTAGTAGACGCTGCAAATACTACTGCCACCTTCTTCGCAGCACCCAAAGTCTGTGCCAAAAACTCCCATTTCTGCTCCTTTAGATCCGAAGAAAAACAGCGCACATATCCATCCGCATATACGGCAACCAAGCCACCTTCTGTTCCTCGTTTCCGGAGATCTTGGAGGTAAACCACGTCAGATCTTGAGTCTGACCCGCGAGACAAGGCATTGATTGCCCCAGCTTTGTCGTCATCGCTCGAGACACCCTGTTCCTCCCAGCAAAGGAGCTCCCTCTTGGGACTCGAAACAGCCGCATAAGTCCTCCTCCCAAAAGTTGTGGCTTTCTTCCCCCCGCGGGTGAAAGAGGATGTGGGCGCGCAGGAAAACTTTGTAGTAGGCGGCAGCGCATATGTAGATATTACCTGTGTAGCACGAACCTGTCGAGAGAAAAGGAAGAAAAAAACCGTCAACAATCCACAGCCAGAGGAACGGAGAGGTCAATTGGCACATACATCGTAGATATTAACGCCCTCTCCATCCACTGCGACCGCAATTTCCTGCGCACTGCGTTTTCGCTTCTTTGTGGACTCGACGGACGAGGTGAAGCACACACGGTATGTGCCACCCTCTCTATCCTTTGCACGGGTCTGGTGTAGAGGTTGGGATAGTGGAAATATGATGTATGGAGCCGAGAGCGACACCGAGGTCGCTGATACAGCCATCTTTGGCTATTATATGTTCTGGGGTTGGTGGTTGGAAGAGTGGGAGATGGCTGGTTCTTTGCGGTAGCAGCAGGCTTAGTGATAACTTTTTTTGAGGAAGAAACATTTTCATGCATGTGTCACGTGAAGGTGCGTGGGGCTAAACCATGCACGCTCCACCCCAAGCTAGAGCCGCCGCCTTGCCCACAGAAAACTTTTTGGGAAAGCGACGACTTACCATTGGCGATACTCTTTGCTTTCTCAGCGCAACGGGCACTCGATAAAGAGAGAAAGAAAGAAAAATGCCACACTACAGATCCCTTACGAAGGACCTTGAGAAGAAGGTCTTGGTTCTAGTCCGCCGGTATGTCGACGAAGTAGCGCTCGCAGAAGAACAGAATGGGACGAGCTCGGGGCAATTGCGATTATCAGTAACGAAGCTGTATCAGTATATTGTCGCAGATGGAAGTTTGCCGAGGCAAAAGAAGCTCAATGTAGAAAAGATGATCGAGAAGGCGATCGATGTTCTCAGAGAGGAGGGCGAAGAAGACGACGGCGACGAGATCGATTCAGATTTCGAGGGATTGAATGAGATGGGGCTTATGGAACCCACAGTGAGAACACTCCCCGGGTTGAAGTGGAATTTTTACTCTACGAGCTAAAGGTGTTAATGACTGCTGGTAGAATACAAATGCGGTCAATAAGAAAATTGTGGATATGTGGGGCACGAAAGCGACTGCGACCCCCGCCGTAGAGTCGACAGCATCCCCAACCTCTACAACCCCCGCCGCAACCCAGCGCGCCTCTTCTGTAGCCCCAGAAACAGCTACCCCACCTGTTCGAAAACGCAAGGAACGCTCCGTAAAGGATGGCGAAACCACAAAGAGAGTAAAGGCGTCAAGCACCTCCACAGAAGACCGCACTCCCCCAAAGAACATAACACTCAAGGATCTCGGTGGTGTCGACGACATAATAAACGATCTTCTCGAGCTTATTGCAATGCCACTGACCCATCCTGAGGTCTATGCGCACACCGGTGTGTCGCCCCCTAGAGGTGTCCTTCTCCACGGCCCCCCAGGGTGTGGAAAGACAATGCTGGCGAATGCGATGGCTGGAGAGTTAGGTCTACCGTTCCTGGCAGTTTCGGCGCCATCGATAGTATCCGGAATGTCAGGGGAATCTGAAAAGAAGCTCCGAGAGCTATTTGAGGAGGCACGGGAGAAGGCACCTTGTTTGGTATTCATGGATGAGATTGATGCTATTACGCCAAAACGAGAGAGTGCACAGCGGGAGATGGAACGAAGAATCGTTGCGCAGCTTTTGACATGTATGGACGATCTTACGCTTGAAAAGACTGGTGGAAAGGTTGTCATGGTTATCGGTGCCACAAATAGACCCGACAGCTTGGATCCTGCATTGAGAAGAGCAGGAAGATTTGATAGGGAAATTTGTCTCAATGTACCCGATGAAATTGGGCGAGAAAAGTATGAATCATGATTTCGTCACTCGGACTTTCCAGAAAACATGCACTAATGATCATTTCCAGAATTCTCCGGGTATTGTCCCAAAAACTTCGCCTCAGTGGTGATTTCGATTTTTCGGCCCTTGCAAAGATGACCCCTGGTTTCGTAGGCGCGGATCTTAACTCTCTTACTGCAGAAGCTGGCACGTCTGCTATGAAGCGGATATTTGAAAATCTCAAAACACCTATCACCAACCCCGGCATCGAAGCCCTTAAAATTACGCCCAATAATACTACTGCCGACGGAATGGACATTGATGTTGAACCTCATGTTCCCGCACCTCTCACTGAGACACTGCCTCACGAGGAAAACGCGCCCGTGACTAGCATCATCCAAAGCTTTCTAAAAGCCTACCCCTCAACATTAACACCCTCTCAACTCGAACCTCTCACAATAACTCTACCCGACTTCCTTACCGCCCTCCCCAAGATCCAACCTTCTTCCAAGCGCGAAGGCTTTGCCACCGTTCCCGATGTCACCTGGGCCGATATCGGCGCTCTCGGCCCCATCCGTGTCGAAATGCAAATGGCGATCGTTCAACCAATTAAAAGACCCGAGCTATACGCTTCAGTGGGCATCACCGCGCCTACCGGCGTACTTCTCTGGGGTCCTCCTGGGTGCGGTAAAACCCTCCTTGCGAAGGCCGTCGCCAATGAGTCTCGCGCAAATTTCATATCTGTCCGTGGGCCAGAGTTACTGAACAAGTATGTCGGAGAATCTGAGCGTGCAGTGCGACAGGTATTTTCCAGGGCAAGGGCAAGTGTGCCTTGCGTCATTTTTTTTGATGAGCTGGACGCTCTAGTCCCGAGACGAGACGACTCTCTGTCAGAAAGTAGTGCAAGGGTGGTGAACACCTTGTTGACGGAGCTGGACGGATTGAACGATAGGAAGGGTATCTATGTTATTGGAGCCACTAATCGTCCTGACGTTATTGACCCAGCTATGCTGCGTCCTGGACGTCTCGATAAGCCACTTTTTGTTGACCTTCCTACCCCCGGTGAGAGAGTTGACATTCTCAAGACAATAACAAAGAAGTGTCCACTTGAAGGCGTAGACCTCAAGGCGCTGGGTGAAGATGCCCGCTGCGAGAACTTCTCAGGAGCTGATCTAGCGGCTCTGGTTAGAGAAGCGAGTGTGAGTGCGCTACGCAAGAGCTGCTTGAAGGATATTGGCTCGGGTAGCGAGGTGGTTAGTGTTCCTGTTGGACAGGTCCGGGTCACATGGGAGGATTTCGAGACTGCGTGGTGTGGTGTTAGGCCCAGTGTCACGGAGAGGCAGAGGGGGGAATATGGGAAATTGGCGACGAAGTTTGGGTGGGGCAAGGAGAAGAAGAAGGGGTTGGAGGTGAAGAAGAAGACGGGCGAAGAAAAAGAGTTGTAGAGGGCTTTTAAATAAGACCCTATTTTCTTATGATTTCTGGTTTTAAATAGCGCACAGATGGATGGGATCAATCAACTGGGGGATTTCTTTTTATATGTATTTACCAACTAGAAACTTCTTTGTGTCTCCTGCCCGAGCCCGAATACCTTATCTATATTTGTATGGAAAGACAAAAGTAAAAGAAAATATAAAATAAGAAAACTCTTTGCAGCTCGTGGTTGAACGTGTCCCTACATTTATCCTGTCGGGCTAGTTTTTGGATCTTGACCGATCAGCGCCCTCTTTTTGATTTGATTTTAACTCGATTTCGATCTTATGGTCGAGAGCTAGAGCCTTTGCCCTGATACTTGCACGTGTTATTGCTTTAGATTTTGTTCTTGGGGATCCCCAGCCAAATTTTATCGACCTTGGAATTCAAGTTAGACTTTCGCTGCAAAACTACATGTATTCACAAATCTCAAATCTTCACGAGCTTCTTATTCGTTAAGAACCTTTTATTTAATTTTAGATTCACCCCTTAATTCGCTTTCAAGTAATTCCGCTAGGTATCTTAATGAGGCGTTTAGAAAACGACCAAATATAAATACCATCTTTTTTGAGATTTACTCCACGTCCTGGATACATCTGTGTTCGCTAGTAAAGTAGAAGCTGTGACGTAGAATATAAAGAGCCGAAAGCGGTAATCGAAAAAGCGGTCTGTGTTTGTATCACCCAGAGTCTTAGGTTTCTTGGTAACCTCTAAGGCGAGCGGTATGTAAGGCTTCGTAGATCTACGAAAGGGTGCAATAATCCTTGCCCTTTCATTATCGTAACACCAGCCTCTCAGCACTTTCAGATTGTTCGTGCGAATTGAAACACGGCCAGCTAGGGAGATCTCAAGAACTCACTTCAAAATGTATGTACCTGCGTGACTTGATCACTTCCGGCGATCAACCATATGCACCTATCAAGGTTGCGAGGTGTCTTGTGTGATTGCAGCTGCGCGTGCATAAGACCAGTCTGTGGCAGGTTGTACATACCCTATTGTACTCTGTGTTGTACGAGACGTAGGTACAGTATTTTCAGGGTCAATGGCGAATGACCAAACCAGCCGGATAAATTGTGCTCTCTGCGCACGTTTCCTCCGTTGATTCCGCCTATCATAATTACTCACACAATCGTGTTTATCTAGGCGGCATGGGGTATGATTCGGTTTGGCGGTATTGTCCAATTGACAGGAACATTCAGGGCGTGGTCAGCTTGCTGGTAACTTAGAAATCTTATTTCAAAAGCGGCTCTAGGTACTAATATGCTTAGTTATTTTTACATGTTCGCCATGAGCCCAGAAGGTGCTGTACTCTCGACACTAAAACATCCCTCTCCGGCCTGACTCATGTCTATCCCCTAATTTGAGGAGGACCGGTCTTTGTGCCAAGTTTTTGAATGGATCAAAACCTTATGAGAGAATTGCTTGTATTTTAGCAGCGAAACGAAGCCGAATAGGTACTCTCTAGAGTAGTTACAAGCACTAATAATAATGCGTTCATACCGGCCGATCAATCGATCAGGAATCGAAGGAATCGAAGGAATTGTTACAAGGATGGCCGAGGCCGCTGATTGGTCGGTTCCACTAGGCACTGCCCGCATTAGCGTGGCGTTAGCAACCGCCAACGAACGACAACAACACCTCGAGACCCGGCAGGCAAGAAAACGAGCTCGACCGACCGACTACCTAACATTTCCATGGTTCAATCTCGGAGATGTTAAAAAACAACATCGATAAGAATCTCGACCGTACAAGTCTCGATTCTCTCTCCGACAGCTACCTCTCCGATCACTCTCCAGACGGTTAATAGCCCCCTCAAAAAGAAAATTGGTGATTGCTACCGCTAACCACCGCTATCGACAGACCTATCCCTCCTCCATCGCCTTAACACACTCTTATCATCCAAAAGCCTTCCGAGGCTGACGAATCTCCTCGATGTGACACCTTCGCTCCTCGTAGCTCTCTATGAGACTCATCCAACCTTCCAGCGTGTGCCCTTTGTGGACGTCACCGTACCCGATTTTGCAACGAAGCTCAGGAACATGAAGCTACTTGTGAGTAGCATTGCAGGTAGCCGGAATGGATATTTAACGGAAAGAAAGAGACGACAACTTGAGAGGCTGGATCTACGCAAGTTCTGTGAAAAGGACCTTGATGCTATCAGGGATACCGTTGAGATTCTCGTCGATGTTGGAGAAAGGGGACTACTAGTTGGGACAGGATCGGGAACACCCGGAACTAAAAGACGACCCCAGGAAATCTCGAGGTCTGTGCACAAAGTAGAGAAGGTTGCCGGAAACAGCATGGAAGGACCACAAACATCGAAGAAGAAACACCCAGTGCTGGTACTCCCCACAACGAAGGTGGACGACCATGAGATATCGACAGACGATAAGGACTCGGGATGGGATGGTAGCATTCTCGGAGCTATGTCTCAGTCGGATAAGGTGGGATCCTCCAAGGGCCGATTGACCCGGGGAAGTGATTTGAGAATCTCGGATTTGAAATCCAGGAAGGTTGCCCAAGACGGTCGCTCAACGTTGGCCTCTACTTCGTCTAGTAGCTCTTCGGTACCGCCTGGCTATTTAGAGCATCTTTCGGCACGTGTAAACGCAATTGTTGCACGCTGTCCCGCACAATCGCCACAACCTAAAGAGAAATCGCGAGGTAGAGGTGACGTAGATGACACCACCAAAGGCACGAAGAAGCAACAAACTGAGCGTGAAGATTATTCCACTTCGCGAAGAGTATCCAGAAGATCAGCCTTAGGACAACGACAAGGTCTGGACTCTGACCAATTTGGTGGTGAACTGAAAGCCCCTCGACCTACAACAGCTAGCACTTCATCTTCCGGAAAATTCGAAAGAAAACCAAATGAGGCCCCTGTATCGAGGGGTCAAAAGGCAACATCTAAAAATACAAAGCGAGGGGCCGTAAACCGAACAGGGAAGAAAAGAGAGAGCCGGAAAGAGCAAGAAAGATGGGGGACAGAGTCTGAATCGGGCTTCGACACTTCACTATCTTTTTCTTCGTTGGCAAGGAAAGACACTCTCGATTCTCGTACCACTCGGAGATCTTCAGCACCTGTAAGAGAGATAGGCATCAACCTCGAGGTAGCCGCGCACACACCTCTCCCCACCTCTCGCCCTGGCTCTACAACCTCTCATAATTCTAGGCCAGAAAAAGACCAACCTCTTAAATCCCCACTACCACTATTTCCCCAATCCCTCCTCCGAACCATGTACTGGGCGACCAGCCTGCCCACTCCACCCCTCTCTCCAAACGCCCAGAAATGGGGCTCCCGCCTCGCAGCCACTGCGACCCCCTCAACATCGAAACCGCAGCTTGGAAAACTCCGGCGAACAGTCAGCGCATCACCGCTCCCCGCATCAATGCTCAAGAAACGCTCTCCCGCCAAGCGCCACGGTAGCGCAGGCCTGATGGAGGCACGTGGAGCTGCCAGCGAAGAGTGGGCTTCCAATCACTCGCATGAGCGCTTATCGGCGAAAGGATCCTACTCAACACGGGGAACGCCTTTGCGTCCGCCGAAGGAGCTGCTCGCGTTTGCCGTGCCCCCGGCGCTGGCTTCTGCTGGAAGGATGGCGAGGATCACTAAGAACGACCCTTCAGGTCGGGGGAGGGAGCTGTATAATCATGAGTTCGAAGAAGGTGATACAGAACCAGATGATACGGACTATGGTGAAGATGACGACGATGATAGGACCAGCATATACTCTGCCTCCACTGTATCCTGGGGCGAAGATGATCCTTTTACTGCAGCATTGAGGCAAAGGCGGCAGCTGGCGCTCGAGAAGCTGCATGCGATGGAGAGGAGTTTCAATGAGGAGATTGAGGTTAAGAAGCAGGCGAGAATTGAGAGTCGTGAGCCGAGCGTGAGTGAGCAGTGGAGGCCGTATTCAGACACAGAGCTTGATGTGGTGACGCATGAAGGGTATGACACGGATTCGGAAGGTGGTTGTACAGACGTTGAAGAGGAATTGAGGTTGCTGGAAGAGATCGGGAAAAGAGAGGCCGATAGACAGCAGTTGTTGTTGAAGAGGTTGGTGGCCAGGGGTGGGACTTGAAATTTTTGGGCTGCTTTGTTTATTTCTTTACATGCCGGACGAATATCCGGCATGGTAATCTTGTGCGCCGATGTCTTTTTTTATCATGTTTAACACGAACTTATGCCCCCACCTTTATGACAACTTATGCGGATAAATATCTTAGTCATCATTACAATTATTTTATTCTGGAGTCTTTTCTATTTTTATTTTTTTATTTTTTTTTATTTTTTTTATTTTTTATTTTTTTTTCTCTGTCCGCCTATATTTTTTTATCAATCTCCCCTTTGTAATTTGGGGTAAGAGTTAGATGAAAGAAATAAAAGCAGTTTTCCATGACCTAGAAAAGTCACAATCTCGCCCAATACCTGCCTCGTTAGATGTAATCATGATATGGTTTCTAAACCCGGCCCTTAAGGGGTGTTTCTTGGTAGGCGCGGTTTACACCAAGAGAAATGCTATCTTGATGCCCTGTTTAGCCTGCTTAAACATCCACCATCCCCGACTACTTATGAACATCACCGATATTGAAAGGTGAACAAATGCTCTGATTTATATTAACATGCAGAAACGTACACTCAATTAGTAGTGGGCCGTGGTGTGTTCTACCCGGTCTAGATGGTGTAAACGTTCGAAGTGGATGGTAGGTATTTATAATTTAGTTAGAGAAACATGACCATAAAGCCTTTTCTTATAACCCAAGTTTAAAAGCTCTTTGCTGGCTGTCACGGGTGATCGGTTAATTCCGTCGTCCTGCAATTTATGTAGTCAGGCAGCTGGACTAGCTACACAGTAAAAAAGAGATAAAACTTGCCTTTAATCGTGTTTATCGGGATCAAGCGTGGAGGGGATGCAGACAGCTATTCACTAGAGAGTTGGGAATGAATTGGTCCCACAATTAACATTAATCTATAAGTTTATCTAAGTCTGCGCCGTCATGATTACTCGTTAGCTGATTATTCATAGTCATGGATAATCACTCGGTTCTTGGCACTCAACCACCACCTCTCTCTGAATGGGTCTATGCGTCAAAACCCAAGTTCTGAAATAGATGGAGGAAGAAAGAGTGGGAAAATGAGAGGATCTCTGGGAGATATGTGAAGTAAAGTGTGATTGTAATAGTTGGGGTTGACAAGTTAATTGGCACTGGTGTTGTGCACTTGAGGAACACAGCTTATCGTGGATCTACTCCTGGGTGGATAATTTGCTACGTCATTCAATCTAATCCAAGCCTTACAAACGTATTGTTTTGCCAAATTTCACTATACTCTCACCTATAGTTGCCAAGAGACTCTTGTAGGTGTTTCCAGTCACCATTGGCCAAAACAACCACCTACCTTCGAGAGGTAAACAAACAAAAAAAGTAGTAGAAGCTCGCCCACTACATACAAAACAAGCAACTACATAATTCCCATCATGGGCTTTCCACTCATTCCTCCCGAGATTCACGCTCTTATTGCCAAACATTTGGAACCGTATGACCTTGGATCCCTCGTCCGTACCTCAGGAGCTCTAAAAAGGGCCTACACATTCTTTCTTTACGAATATGCTACCCATCCTTCTGATGGTAGTTCTCCTCTCATCTGGGCATCACAGCGCTCTCATATACCTCTCGCCTCTTACCTTCTTGCCCTCGGCCACTTTATCAATTGTCCCGAGGCCCAAACCCAGCGCACAGCACTCGCAATCGCAGCCTGCAACGGTGGTTTGCAAATGGTACGGTTTCTTGTCTCCCGCGGCGCCGCACTAAACTGTACCGACAATGCTGGGTATACACCGCTCATCTGGGCCGTTATTGGCGGGCACATGGCCATCTGCCGGGTGTTGCTCAGCGCAGGTGCAGACCCGAATCTCTATCGCCTCAGCAACCAGTTCATGTACCGGGCCAAACCGGCACTACACTGGGCAGCTTTGGGCCGAGGAAGTGGGTCTTCTCCAGGTCTGGTTTCGCTGCTGCTGAAGTGGGGTGCCGACGTTAATGCGGTGAATGCGGATGGGAGGACTGCGTTGATCGAGGCGTTGACGGCACCGGGACAACATGCGGCCGAGATCTGCCAGCTGTTGGTTGCCGGTGGGGCGGAGGTTAATTTTAGGTTGTTGGCGGCTACGGAGCCGTTTGACAGGATCTTGGAGGTTGGCCAGACAGTGTTGTTTGCAGCTGCGGGGAATCCGCAGTTGTATAAGATACTGATTGATGGTGGGGCGGATGCTGAGTTGGAGGATGCTGAGGGTGAAACCGTATTGGAGAAAGCGGTCAAAAGAGGATTCAGCAGGCATGTTCTCACCATCCTGAGTCACGGGGCCAAGTTCAGCATTGAGACAGCCCGAGGAATCTCCTTGCTTAAAACTGCCATGGCGAGGAACCATCAAATGGTTGATCTGCTGGTCTGGTATGACAGTAGCACTTGATTGTTAACTTTATTTTAGTATTCTTCTTTATTCTTAGTATATAACGATTAACACAGTCTTTTCTCAAACTTATAAATTGCTCATGGCGATCATTCTGCTGTCATAGCTACTCGGAAAATTGAAAGCCAATTATGGCTATACTCTGTGCTGTATAGTACTATTGAAAAACATACCAACCTTAACACCAATATTTTAAGTGGACCACTCGGAAAGGACAAATGTAGATCTGTGTGAATACATATTGTTAACAACAATTATTACTTGGAATAAAGTAGGATGTGGGTTTAATTATGCTTTGATCCTAGGTTTTCTACGCTACCTCGGTGAGTGATAATCCATCATGACCATGAAGCCCATTCCTCATTTACAATTCGAACTTCTCGAGCATTGATTCACCCGTACCCAAGCCCGGAACAATCCTGTAATATAAGTAACATCAAGATAGGCTCAGAAGGCCGGAGTGGTTCTTTGAATTAGGTGCTGTTGGTGAGGTGTATGCGACCTTAACTAGGATATCGGGGGGTTTGAAATTGGTGGGAGTGGAACGGTTGAGGGCGAGGTAGTGGGCCCGGGAGCGAGGTGGTGACAAGGATGGAGAGGTAGGGACTGGGGCATTAGAACACGGGAGAGAATACGTTGTCAAGAACTACATGTACATGTATCTTGACAGATAGGCTAAGACTACATGTAATCATTATTCTTTTCTATAGTCTTTGCTATTTGTTATTATATCTTACCGTGTCACGATGATGAATTCAGTTGTCTGATAAATACGTGATTTTAATATGTGATGTTTGGCCTTGCTCACTAGAAAAGTAGCTTGTTCTTTATACTTTTGTAATAGCAACCATACACTTGCAATGCAGTTACAATTCTCTTCTGTCTCTCACAAACAACACTGATCCGAATAAGCATCATGACACCATATTCAGATACATGTACGTCTACTATAAAAAAATCGTCCTAAAGTCTTGTCTCGAACAACTCGACACCAGATGTTCTGGTCTTGAATCTACCGGCTTGAAATCTACTAAGTACATGTAGTGTCGTAAGCACTAGGAGCAAAGTCGTTAGTAGGGAGCCTGGTTCTCCCCTAGTCTAGTATCCATCCCCTACTAGCAGCAAGCTGCTCGTCAGCCTAGCTCTCCCTCGATCTTTCACTATTTTAGCCGCTCCCGAGCTGTTATACCAAAACTTCAACCATCATCCGAGCAAGATCAAGAGTCTAAAAACGTTTATCGGCTAACATCTGAATAACAGAGGTATAGGGGCTTTTTTTGTTGGACCTTGGCTTACAAATATTGACCCGATATTTTGAAACCAGTATGGGAACTGACAAAGGAACGTATCTTGGTTCTTCTCGAACGGTGTCGTGAAGAACACTAAGCGCTAGTCCCCGTGACTATCGTGTTATAAATCGAAAACTACATTTATCCTTTATTCTCTTGTGCATATTTCATGAGCTAACTAAGGAACAACAGGTGTTCCTTAAACCTACGAAGTTAAGCGTTCACTGCCTACAGAATACGTCGAAGAACGTTCAAGAGTTCTTCTATGAGTGAACACGAAATTGGGCAGGGACTTCTCCATCAGTAGAGGGCCTATTCGTACCCCCCCCCCCCCCCCCCAAATCTTATTTGACGATGTGATGGGGTACATGAATAGCGAGAATCGCACTTATTATATTGAAACATCGTTACTGAAAAGAAAATGTATGCTGGCATGTCAGTGGTAGGAATCGGTCACGAAAGAGGAGTTCTAGGGTGGACTGACCTGGTGGAGGGGTTCTACATCGCAGTAGGATACTACTCGTTCTCCATGAAAATTTTGCGAAGCTGCTCACTTCCATGTCTTACCTATAATGTATGGATCATATTGCTAGATGGTGAATATTATTGCTAATAGGGCCTACAGAATACGTCGAAAACCTTAATAATATCAGCAATAGAAGCTTCTTTTCTCTCCACAATAACACGTGGAATTCGAATTGGAAAGAAGTGGAGAAGCCAAAGAAATACCGAAAATATCGTTGGCCTGATCATGAAAAGACAGTATAAATATGGAGATGAAAAGGCTCAGAAGAGATCTCGAGATGTGGGCGAGGAGCTGAAAATTATTGAAAATACAAATGAAATTTTGTGATTCTTCTATGATTGATACTCAAGTTTTAAAACCTTGATATTATGGCTCACAATACTAGTAGGTCGATTTTTGGGCCAGATTCCCAATCCGAGTGATTATAGATGACGATGCAACATAGCCCTGCGCCCCATAGAATGAATGTCTTTATGCGTCTCCAGGCTCTTCGGACTAGTGGAAAGAGTAGCGAATACAGTCCTCCTGCTTCTCTCCTCGCCCATCCCTTTGGTCTGAACTTTCACCATACCACCAGGACCCCCTAAAAGTCTCGGTCTGAGCGACGTCTGGTATACAGCCATATACAAGCCACTACCTCAACGGCTGTTATAGGTAAGTCATGTATCGCATCTAATTCTGCGCACTCATTCACATCTTGGTATAGGAAAAGAAAATGCGCTCAACCCCATTGGAAGATATAGACCCAACCCTGCGGGGAGATACAATCGACCTACAGCAAGATGTGGCCCTACAGCGATCACTAGGACTCTCAGACACATCTGCCCAATTTAAGCAGCCACCTAACGACACCGTCTTACCCACCTCTACCCCCACCCGCAAGCGACGCCGCTACTCGAAAATGAATATCCAGAAGCCACCAATTGAACTCCGCGAACGCTATCCCTCCGGCCGTCTCAAAGAGTTCCGACCTCGGTTTGCCTACGGCCCAGTGAGGCTCGCCGAAATTCGAAAGGACGAAAGAACCAGGGCGGCGCGTTATAGGGACGGTTTGCGTGCTCTTGCGGTTGCTGCTGGGCATTGCGACACGAGTGGGCAAGCGGCGTTTATTGTGGAGTTAAAGAGGCTTCGGAAGGTAAAGCGGGAGGCGGAAAGAGAAGCGAGGAATACGAAGACGGCTCTTACTACTGGCAAAGGGGATTCACTGAAGGGGAAGGTGGTGGCGGAGCCACAGATGGTGGTTGAAGGTGAAGAAATTTTGCAGGTCCAGGGCGCAGGGAGTGGAGGCTGTGAAGTGCAGGATACTGTCCATGCCGAGGATAAGATGGTGGAAGACTCTCGAGGGCTCCGTTCCTAAAAACAGCACAATTGCAATCATGAGATCTAGATTTTAGAGATCCTGGGCATTGTGAGTTTTTATTCGCGAGGCCAAAAAAACACACACAGTGCAGCATCTATAATAAACCATAAAATGAAAAGATGCTGTAATTTCCCAAAAGCAAGTTCCTTAGTCACTAGCTAGATTCTTTAGCCTAATGCGCATATCGAACATTAAATAATTTCGAGTGGTAGCCTTGCCTTGGTAGTTAGAGGGAAAGAATTTCTGAAATTCATGCCAGTAATTATAACATAGCGATCCCATATATAGGCCTACAGTCGAATCTCTCTATAACGGTACCCCCGGGACCGGAGATTGGTACCCTTATAGCAAGCGTTATTTTCTACTTAGAAGGGCAAATAAGGACCGAGAAGTCGTACCCTTATAGGGCGATTATTCTTATAGGAGGTACCCTTATAGAAAGATTCGACTGTACTACCTCAAATTTCGCATCTCGAAAAGGACCTTGTTAAGTGTCTTACCCACGCACCTCTTAAGCTTCAGTCAAACTTGGAGCCTGTGCTTCCTTATGAAGGATATATATCTCGTGCTCTCGGATCGGAGGTTATTGTGATATATGTGGAGAAATTCCTTTATTCCGTTTCTATTTCTCTCGAAACACACAGGTTATAATTAGGGTATACATATAATATGGGTGTCGATCTGGTAAAAGGGACCTATGCATGTGTGACAACATAACAAGACCCCACCGGTTCGCTACAGCACTCTACAGCCTCCAATTGCTGGGAGAAATGGCCGAAAGATTAACTTTAGGACCTCATCAATGTTCTCCTAACTTGAGGAAGATTTGGAGTTTATCAGTTGCGTGGTTCGGAATAAAGATTTGGCTGTGCGGACGTTTTTATAATTTAATTACCGGGTCGACACCGAGTTATATCAAACGCGGTGTTCTATATTCGCCCTTCAGGAATGAAATCAGTTCGGGTGGGGTAGGTAGGCATGTAGCTACATGTAGCTATAAAGTAAAACGAAAAGTCACATGCCATGCTTAGTTCCGCTGTCATTTGAGAGCCAAACTAAAACGAGTGATAATTCGTGATTGTTATTCCACGATGGACAAGATCTCTTTTTTTTCCCAGGACCATTGCATGCACGTATAAGACTATTGGAAGCTTTTTTCTAAGTTTCAGCCCCGAGATCATAGATGGATGACATACTAGGATTGGAAGGGGCCAGGAGGGCAAGAATCATGAGGCATCACTCGATCCTTTAAATCGTTGATTACTTCGCTTCATACACTCCCCTCGAGATTCGCAAAAGTAGAAGAGGGCCCACATTCACCCTCTTTTTACGTTAGTGATTAACGTAAAAGCGATGCTACCCAAAATGTGAGACATTTTCCAAAAAGAATTCTGTGCCGAACCTTTCTAAGGAACGCATCCCCAGTACTCATTTCCCAAGCTTGGCATTTTTCGGGCAAAAAAAACCAACCGTGTTTCTTTCGCCCAAAATATTTCACCCGAACACAAATACAACAAGTTCACTAAATCTCTCTCCCCATTTCACAGCAATAACCAAGATGGGGCCAACAGACCGCCCCAGGCGGACAAAATATCTCTCTCCTGCCAACCAAACCTCGGACAGTCCCACCGAGTCCTCAAATGCCCAAGCACAGGCTCTTGAAGAGGCCTATTTCAAAAGAAAAGAAGAGCTCCGTCTCAGCAGACTCGAAGAGGCCCGTCTCAAGAAAAATGAGAGTTCCCGCCAGGGATATCAGAAAAGGAAAGCAGCCGATGCCCTTACTAAATTGGCCGAAAAAGAGAGAACAACCAACGAAGAGACGGTGAGCAACAATGCGTCTCCCACTCCGGATACCGAGAACAATAAGATAGACGAGGTGAAAGAAGCGGAGGAGGAAAATGAAGTTGAGGTGAATGAAGCAAAGAAGGTGGACGAAGAGGAAGAGGGAGAGAAAGAGGGAGATGTTCCAGAGGAAAAGAAGAAGCTTACAGATGAAGAAGCCCTGGTCCAACGAAATGAAGAGCGTTGGCTGGCAAAAATGAGACGGGATGAGCAACGTCGGGTTGACAGAGAGAACACTACCGTTGCGCGCCTACGAGATGAATATAATCGGCTTAAAATGGATTTAGACACGGGCAAAGAATCTATGGAAGCAGAAGCTGGCGAAGAAGGAGAGTTTTCCACCCAACAATCTCCTATCCAAGAATCTCCCACTCCAGAGTCATCCGTCCCGGATTCCTCCACTGATCAGTCTCCCGCCGAGAGGCTGGAGGACCTGCCTAGACATAAGAGAAGAGAGGCCAAATACACGAATCAGTACACACCTAAGGAGCTGCGGCTACGGACACTTCATTCCGAGATCAGTCTTATACTCCGCAATCAGAAAATCCGACAGGAGCGACATAAACAAAGAGCAATCGAGATCGCCAATGGGCAGCGCGACACTAGGGGAAGGCTCCTGTGGTATCCAGAGAAGCTCAAAAGACTAGCCTTGGAAGCCAAAGCCAGAGAAAGAGCCGAATCTTCAGAGCAACAATCCCCAGACCAGGAGTCCCCTGTACCAGATTCCCCAACTCAAGAGTCTCCTATCGATAACACTCCTTTATTCCAGATGCCGGAGAAAGGAAAGCCCGAGTCAAAAATAGCTCAATACAAGAAGACGTTAACACCAGAGCAGCTGGTTCTTTTCGAAGAAAGGCATCGAACCGAGGTTGAGAAGCAACGAAAGCAGCGGCAACAGCAAAAGGAAATCGAGATCGCTAATGGACAGCGCGACGCTAGGGGAAAGCTCCTGTGGTGGTCAGAAAAGCGCAAGAGAGACGCCATGGAAGCTGAGGCCAAAAAAAGAGCTGAATCCTCCGCTCAGGGACCTTCAAATGAAGAATCTCCAGCCCAGGAGTCTCCCATCGATGACGCTCCCCTATTCCAGATGCCGGAGGGAAAACCCGAATCAAAAGTAGCTCAATATAAGAGTACTTTGACGCCGGAGCAACTGGCCCGTTTCAACGAAAAACGTGAAATCTTCAATGAGAAACGCCGAGGGGAGAGGCAACAGCAGAAGGAGATCGAGATCGCCAACGGACAGCGCGACGCCAACGGAAAGCTCCTGTGGTGGCCAGAGAAGCTCAAAAGAGCCGCCCTAGAAGCAGAAGCCAGAGCAAAAGGCGAGTCTTCCACTCAGCCGTCTTCAAATCAAGACTCTCCAGACCAGGAGTCTCCCATCCCGAATTCCCAAGATCAAGAGTCCTCCGTCCAGGATTCTTCGGCCCAAGAATCTCCCGTCGATGGAACCCCCATCCAGATGATGCGTAAAGCAAAACCCGAGTCAAGAGCAGCTAAATGGCAGAAGAACTGGACGCCGGAGCAGGTGATTCGTTATAGAGAAAAACGTGAAGTCTTCAATGAGAAACGCCGAGGTGAGAGGCTAGAGCAAAAGGAGATCGAGATCGCCAATGGACAGCGCGACGCCAGCGGAAAGCTCCTGTGGTGGTCTGAAAAGCGCAAGAGAAACGCGCTGGAGGCAGAGGAGGCCAAAAAAAGAGAGGCTTCCGCTGCGGGAGCTTCAGCCTCCGAGGAGCTTGCAGCAGCAGAGGAGTTGAAAGATAAACGTCTCTACAGGAACCATATCCAACAGAGAAATCGTCAGATTCAGAAAGACATCGAGATCGCCAAGGGGCAGCGTAGCGCCGACGGAACGCTCTTGTGGTATCCAGAGAAGCTCGCGAGAGAAGCTATGAAGGCAGAAGAAGCTAAGAAAATAGAAGAGTCTTTCGCACAAGAATCGTCAACTCAGAAATCCTCTGCTCAAGAGTCTGCCATTCAAAAGTCCCCCACTAAGGAGTCTCCCGCTCAGCAACCCGTCACTCGCAAGAGGAAAGAGTCCATCTCCAAGGAGGAGTCAGCCGCAGAGTTTGAAGAAAGACGTCTCCACAGGAACCTGAAGAAACAAGCGGATCGCCAGAATCAAGAAGAGAAAGAGACCGCCCGTGGACAACGCGGCACCAACAGGACACTCACCCGGTCTCAAACCAGCATCACTAGTTCCAGCACCCTGGCGTCTAACATTGGTGTCCAAAATAAACTTCAGGCGAACGACAAGATGGATGAGGGGGGGTACGAAATGGTCGAGTCTTCTGAGGTCCGTAAAGATGCTGCCGTATCTACTACCATCACCGACGAACAGCTACAAGCTTCTGTGAGCTCTTCCATCTCACAATCTGACCCCGGTAACTCTTCTAATGCCTGGTGGCGGGCTTTACAGTAAAAAGTCTCGGCCACAAGTCGACTACAAATTGCGAATCGACTAAAAACTACAAGTCAACTGCAATTTACACGTCGATTACAAACTACTACAAGGCAACTACAATCTACAAGGCGAATTTAAACTAAAGTGGGAAGAATCAAATTTGGGCTGCGACGGTGACAACTACATGTATTTAGTAGATACTTAGATACAGAATAAATCAAACAGTCATTTCCCATTCAAACAATGTTACATGTAGCACTTCGGAACACAATACAAGTATGTATGCCTCGACATCCATATTCTCCGTTACTAATACAAAGTATCTATATGTAATTATAAATGGGAGGAGATCAGCTAGGAGCTAGTATTTATTTCTAGAATAGGAACCATTATAACGAGATTATGCTATTCTATAGCACCTGATTATGATCAAATACTACCGTATTCTGGGTAAAATTCATTATCGTAATGTAATTAAATGTTTTTATTTTGGCTTCGTGTAATCTATCATGACATCTATATGGAAACATTTAAGCCCTCCGGACGTAAATACAAAGATGTAGCAACCTCGGCACCAGGTGCCAGTGGGAACTCATTAACGAACCTTTCTTCTTTTGTCGACGAGCAGATTTATCTTGGCACCACCGAGTGATATTCTATGGATCTTGGCAATCTGCAACTTACGACTACATAAGTATGCGCGCAACAACTCAAATTAACTTATTCGTCATAAATCAACGCCCCTATCTCTAAAAAAAAAAAAAAATGGGAGGGAGATTGGTACTGGTAAATCGTCACAGGTTTGTTCATTGTTTCATCTGTGTCAACTCTGGTAGAGCGAGCGGATGGAAAAGGTTCCTGAGAGAGAAGCTAAGATAATGAAGCGGCGGTTACGGGCCAGAGACCTGACCGATATCACACATACCCCACTAAGGCCTTCAGGCCCCTCAAAAAAAAAAAGGGGGGGGGGGGGCAATAAATACACAAAAAGTAATGCTGTGACCATACGCCCCTCACAGGCTATAGGTGCTAATTTGCGGAAGGACCCTGAGATCAACTACCCGGTATATCGAACTCTACTCCCTGTTACATTGAACCCATGACCTATTGATGGTCATGGGGACAACCCACTCGGTGTAGCAAGACGAGGCGTCTACCACTAGACTACCTCGCCCACACAACTGTCAAAGTCCGGAAGTAATATTTAAGGGAGGGAGGGCAAAGTGAGCTAGGGGGACACCTAACCCTGCAATCACAATCCACCACGACGTACATCATGATCTACTGGCCATCCTATTTATAGATATACTATTACAATGTCTTAAGGTAAGTTGATTAGAATATAAAGAAGACCGCAAAAACTTTTGATTTCACTCTATGGAATACTAACTAAAAAAGAAGCTAACTAACTATATACAATTCCTCCTCCCACGGACCCCAACCTGGGTCTAATCATCCTTCCTTCTCGTCCATACTCTCCCATCCATCCGGACCCGCCTCCTCGCCATCATCCTCCCCCTCCCCATCCTCACTCTCACTCTCCCCACTACTCTCCTCCACGCCCACAAGCCTATCCTCCACCACCTCTGCCCCTTCCGCGACCGGTGCCACTGCCGCAACACGCCCGGCAAACGTCCTCCTAATACCAGCATTGGTACTGGTATCCCACACGGTCACCGCACCTTTACTCCCCGCAACAGCCAGTCTAAACCCAACCTCCGCATCCGGCGCAAACCTCGTAGAGAAGATCCTTCCCATCCCCAAGTCCCGACTCGACACCATCGACGGACCCCCAGTCTCTGTCTGCGTGTTCCACAGCTTCACAGTCTTATCCGCCGACCCCGTCGCAAGGAACCCAGGCACAACAGGCGAGATGTCAAAGCTGGACACGCTCTTGTCGTGCGCTTGTAGCGTCCACACAGGCCTGCTGGCGGCGGGTGATGCCGGGAGAACACGAGTGTCGAAGAAGTGCACGGCACCACCCTCGGTGGACACGTAGAAGTAGTGGTTGTCATGCGGGTCCCATTTGAGGTCCTCGACATCGCTCTCGAGCCCCCAGCGCGGGGGCGCGGCGTCCGGAGCACGCATGTCCGCCCACACAACGGTGCGGTCGTAGGAGCCCGACAGCAGCGTGGTGGAGTTCGTGGGGTGCCATGCAAGGGCACAGACCTTGTCGGTGTGGTGGGAGTACGACTTGGCGCAGGTCGTGGTGTTGAGGTCCCATAGCTTCACTGTCTTATCCGCTGACGCCGAGGCAAGGAGGTTGCGGTGCTGGCGGTTGCCGGCGAGGGAGAGGACGGCGTCGATGTGGTGAGTGTCATTCGCGACGGGTGCTTTGCGTTTGCTCTTTTTCTTCTTCTTGGTGATTTCAGTAGGGGCGGGGGCGCCGCCGGCGCCGAGGATGGCGTTGGGGTAGAGGGTATCAATGAGGTCGAGGTTCCAGACTTCGATGTCGGGATCCATGGTGCCTACGGCAACGTAGTTGCCGCGGGCGTCGGGAGCATTGGTGAGGTTCTTGCCGACGGGGATGTCGAGCCATTCGACGCAGAGGGGAATGGCGGGGAGCATGATGTCGTGGTGAACATAGAGGTTGTCGGCGCTGTCTTCGTAGACGTAGATCTCGAGGTGGCAGACGTCGTCTTCGGATTTGGCGGCGATGAGAAGGTTGTCGGTGGGGAGGATCTGGAGCTCTTCGCGCTCTTCGTCATCTTCGGCCTGGAGAGGGTGTTAGTGGGGACATTAGAATTGGGGGGTATTGGAATTGGGGAGTATTGTAATTGAGGTATGGAGCAGACTTACATCGTTGATGGTGATGTATGGATCTGCTTCGCCGGGCTGGTAGTATGCTAGGCCCTTAATGTTTCCAAACATGCCCATGACTGCAGAGAGAGTGTCAATCATCCAGCCTATAGATATTCACAATATCCCTAGAGATCCTCATACCTTCACCGGTCTTCTTCTCCTCCTCTGTAGGCTCGTCGTAGTTCTCGAGATCATACTCCTTGAGGTCATCGTCGATCCTGCCACCGCACAATCAAATCAGCACCACAATTCAAGTTTAAATATATTAAAGTAATAAATACTGACTCCTCTTTGTCCTCTCTATCCTCATCGGCGTCCTTCATTTCCATAGCCTCCGTCTCGCCCTTCTTGCTCTTCTTACTCCCCTCCTCGCCAGCCTCAGCGCGCGCATCGTCAAGGTCCTCCTGAGCATCCTCGAGTTGCAGGCGGGCAAGGTCTGCAATGCGCTCATACTCCTCCTCGGTGACGTCCTGGCGGACGGGGAACTGGGCCGCAAAGCCGCGGGGCACCCAAGTTGTTGCTGTGATCATTGCTGCAGGCGGGTGTGTATCTTTCTGATACTGTCTTGTCTGTCTGTGCGGATTGCTATTTTGTTCACTGAGAAAAAAAATATGTTGGAGGGGTGCAGGGCGTCATGCACGCCAAGATTTCATCCCACAAACGCTAGAAAGAAAAAAAAAGCTGTCTCAGCAACAAACGACACACCCCAAACCTCACCTCCGAGAATATCCCCACATCCACCACCAAGATGGCACGAACAGTAAAGAAGACCACAACCTCTCAAAACACCTCCCGCACATTCAACATCCCCAATAAGCTGCACCGCCAGTCCCACAATGTGCGTATCAAGTCGGCCCTCGCCTCACAGAAGCGCTCGGAGCGCTTCGAACGCAAGAAGGCCGAGACCCGCGACCCCTCCCTCCGCGAGCAGCGCATAAAGACAAACATCCCCGCTACCATAGAGCGAAAGCGTGTATGGGATGAGCGAGTCGAGGGCGCAATTCCCGGCCGCCGCGAGACAGCCATTGAAGCTGCTGCGGCGGCAGCAGCAGCAGCACCACCACAGAAGAAGCAGAAGAAGAAGCGCAGCTCAGATGATATGGATACGGACTCTGACGCCGACTCAGAGGAGGAGGAGGAGGAGGACGACGACGACGAGAAGCCGAAAGAGCCAGAGCCCGAAACACCAGAACAGATCGAAGCCCGCCTGCTAGCAGCCCGCGAGAAGGAGCAGGCAGCAAAGGCAGACTCGGAGGAGACACAAGCGCTGTTCCCCACGCTGCTAACAACCCCCGCGGCCGAGAAGGCCTCCTACCCGGTACCGCGCATCCTGATCACCACCTCGCGCAACTGCCATGTGCACCAGCCCGCCGAGGACCTCACCATGCTTTTCCCGAACGCCACTTACATCCCGCGCGGGCGGCCAGGCACACACGCCCACAGCATCAAGGAGATCTGCAGCTACGCCGCCACACCGACGACCACCAACGCCGATGGCAGTCCCAGAGAGCCATACACGCACGTCCTCGTCGCGAACGAGGACCGCAAGATCCTCAATGCCCTTACAATCATCGTCCTCCCGGCAGGCCCCACGTTCCACTTCAGCCTGACAAACTACACCCCCGCGAAGCACATCCGCGGTCACGGTAATCCCACGTCGCATATTCCCGAGCTCATCCTGAATAATTTCCTCACGCCGCTTGGGCGCGTGACGGCGTCGCTGTTCCAGTCGATGTTTCCACGGCAGCCGGAGATACGTGGAAGACAAGTGGTTACGCTGCACAACCAGCGTGACTTTATCTTCCTCAGGAGACACAGGTATGTGTTCCGCGACCGCCGCGAGGGAGAGAAGCCGGTGGGATATGGGCTGGAGGATGGCGGGAAGGATGGAGGGAATGGGAGTAATGGAATGGAGGGAGATGTGAAGGTGGGGTTGCAGGAGCTGGGGCCGAGGTTTACGTTGAAGTTGAGAAGAGTGGAGAGGGGCGTGAAGGATGGGGTGGAGTGGGAGTGGAAGGGCGGGATGGACAAGGACCGGAAGAAGTTTCAGTTGTAGGCGCTGGTGCTGGTGCTGGTTCTGGTGCTGGTGGTAATCTTTGTAGGATAGGGGAAAAAAAGCTTGGGTTGTTTTTTGTCTTGTCTTGTCTTGCCTTTGCTGCGATGTTAATGTAAATAGTTAAAACAATTTTCTTGCTGCATATTTCGCTGGTGCTTTATTCTTTTTGATAGCGATGTGTTGCAGCAGTGACCGATACTTCTTGCCAGAAATAGAACATCCAGCCCTAAATCCCTGGACTTGACCAGTTGACGGGAAAACAGATCTTCAGTCTATTGCGGTCAATATTACTTTAGCTATATACTATATCCTCCCGGAGTTAGATCATGGACCATCACTCGCTCGGAAACCAATTGAAGTCATTTCCAAAGCCAAGTAGCAATTTTACATTCCTACTAAGCGTATAATCACTCGAGTCGAACGTTGTCGAGGCCTCGCTATCTGGGGTCTGGAGTCTCTGTTGCTCTTAATGCTCGAATGAAGGAAGATGAGAGTGATGATGATTGGATTAAGTCGGTGCCGTAGCTTAACTTTATAAGATCTCAAAACTAACAGATATACTTAACAGGTTGCAAACACGTAGCCGTTATAACGTGTCTTGATACCTATCCCGCTAACCTGCGCCACAACGTCTAGAACTTAAAGAACTCAAGGATTTATCTTTACGGGGATTTCATTTGTAAGATAGGCGTTGGATATGTTTTTTTCTTTCTTGGTTTGGGCCATGATCATGAAATATCACTCGCGTAGCAACGAATCAAAGAATCAAAGAGTGATAAACGGTGATTGGTTACTTAAGTAAACACTTGATAGGCATGAAACATAAACTCCCCAAAAAAATAGACAACTAGTTCAAATGTGTTTGATAAGGGGCCCTTAAAAGTGTGCGAAAAGGCTCTGAACTAAGGAAATAAACCCTTCAAAGAAAAAAACAGCCATGTAATAATTAGTACGACAACGCATTTACTGAAACACTCCGCAGGACCTCAAAGAAAGCAGATAACTCCTCAGATATACTTAACGAATTCCGTAAAGAAAGAGACCTACATATAACCCCAAATAAACTAACCTCACCCCGCAAGAAAAACATAGTCCATCCATCACAGTCGGCACCCAAACCCCCGCACAAACAAAACCCTCAAAACACCCCCCTACTGGCTCTCCTGCTGAATAGTTCTGCTCTCTGATAACGGCTCTCTCGCCATCTCAACCCATTCATCCTGAGTCTCAGCACTATGCCAATCGTCATCGTCGATCCACTCGTCGTTTCCTTCCTCCTCCCCATCGATAACCATCCACTCTTCGGCCAGCAGGGCTCCCAAAATACACTCCAGTGGATCAACCCACACGCCTTCATCTTCTCTGCTGCTCATTTGCGACTCCCGTATTTGCGCGTCTTGCCACTCGCTCTCGTCCCCGTCGAACTCGTCAACCTCTTGCTTACCTTCCTTCTCCTTCTCCCTCCCGTTCTTGCTGTCGCTGTGACTTCGGTGTAGGGGCAGGATGGGCGAGAAGGAAGGCTCAACGTCGGGATCATGCTGGGCTTGCGTACTCTGTGAGGGTTGCGGAGTGGGCAGGGGAGTTGCCATAATAGGCGGGTGAGTTGCCATGATGGGTGGGGTTGGGCTTGGAGCAGGCTCGGTGAAGTACCGTGGAGTGGGAATGGGATAGTCGCTGAAGTAGGCATTAGACGGCTGGATGCGCGGGCGGGAGATAGTGCGGCGGTTTGAAGTTCTGGCAGTCGACATCATGAGAATGGTTATAGGAACAGTATTGAGAACAGTACTGGGAACGGTATTGAGAACGGTATTGGGAGCGGTATTGTGAGGAGTATCGAGGTGGGTTTTGTGGTCAGTGCTAGTGCAGTTAGGGAGAGTGTTGGGGAAGTATCTACGCTGGAGCTTATGAGGATGTGATGGGGGAGATGACATTGTATTCAGTGAGTGGGAAGAAGCCGGTGGTGGGCTGGTAGGTTTATGGAATTGGGGAGGTGTCTGAGGTTTCACAGAGCGGACGGGATTATATGGCAAAGAATAGAGGTGAAGCGTAGAATTATCCTGGGGTCAGAAGATATTAGTGGAGGGGGTAGTAGAGGCGTCACGTCATAGAAGGTGTGTTGACTGGTTGTGAGCGTGCCGGTGTAAGAACCGCATCATGGGTACATATAAGAGCATTTGTAGAGCCGATATGGATAGAATTCGCTGGTTATCAAATTCCAATCAGTGTCTGTGCCCTGGTAGCGTCGCGAGCACAAATCTTGTCATTGTACGGTCTCAATAGAGGTTTAAGACGTGCCGGATCTCTAAAATAGACCATTATATCAGTATAAGTATTTGCGGTGAAACTTGAAATTTAAAATCAAATGGGAAAGAGCTCCTATCAATCCCTCGGATGTAACTAAAGACGGATAGAGCAGATGACTCTTGGGGAGAATCGCAAGTGAGAGATAGGAGGCCGAGATCCAGGGTGCATGCCAGATAGTCCGTCCTCAAATTGCAAAGCCGACGGCACCGTCAGGTTTCTCTGCATCTCTAGTCGGCTGATATTGGAAACATATAGACGGAGTATCCGGAGCTCAATACCACGATAGCAGGCTACCAAGGATTTGCTCATTATATGGACACCTCTTCTCACAGTCATCCCCCACCTTTTCCATCTCTAACCGTTATCACACAAACCCAATCTTGATCAGTTGCCCTTCACCAGCAGACGAACCAACGTACAACGAATCATAGCAACCTCGGCTTAGTCGTTGTCTTTAGACCTCCTACCCAACTAATTTATGTACCTACCCATAATCTAATGCATGAAGGCGTTCACCGAACCGGCTCTATAGGTTCAGCAGTGACTTGCAAGCAAGTAAGTCGTAGGTCTAAAGGTAAAGTTGAATTTCAGGCTGCATGCTATACGCCTGGTATCTAGCAACCCGAGAAAGACAGCGAACTGCGGCAGACAATCAACACCCCAAAGAATGTTAAGGATACTGCTAACAGATGTCCAGGTAGAGAGGTATACGTCGTACTCATCCCCTACAAGCAGCAAGCTGTACACCAGCAGGCATACGTAGTAGGTGGCCAGGGTCAAGTAACCTCATCCTTCGTTCTGTGTTAACCCACCCCGCGAGGTCGATACAAACCGACACAAAAAACACCGCTTCCTGAACATCAAGAGGTATCTCAATGTTCTGGGAACTGTCTAGCATCCATCCTTTGGTAATGTTCCTCCTTCTCGAAGTACCTCTTCAGGTTGACTCCCCCCCCCCCCCCATATTCTTCTCAAGATCAAGAGTCCTTGTTCGTCTTTCTACTTTCTAAAACTGATCTACAAGGTCATTTTATCATTATAGCCGCTGTGAACACGCTACCAGTACATATCTGGAAGGATCTCAATTCTCTGTGCTTTAGCACTCATAATACCTTCATCGGAAATTCGGATTTACATTTTAGTGATCCTATGTATATCTTTTTACTACTGCTAACAGGCGTGAGTCAGCTTACTACCTCTCAATATTCTAATTTAGATGTCAATTTGTACCTGCTGCTAATAGGGTCCTACGCTGTGTTCTATTTAGAAACTAATTCGGGCCCAAAATAGAGCCAATAAGGCATATACTCACCGCCAAATTATCAATCTAATTAGTACCAAAGAAGTTGTATGTGGAAATAAAATATTCAGGTCCCAATTTACAACTAGATAGCTACTCTTTTCAGCACATATATCTCTACTTGGACGCCAATTCGTCAGGGACTGTTACCAAGGCAAATATTTATATTATATGGAGCTTATGGATACCGATCGGTCAGTAAGCAGCATTATAAGAAAGAGATTCTCGTTTACTATACCCTATCACAAAGGCCAAAGCGAGCAGGGTGCAGGCATGGATGTAAACGTCCTAAGGCGAGAGTGTCATCCAAGGCGAAAGACAGCAAAAGCAAAACCAAGTTGGTGCCCACATGAGCTTCAAATATCAGTGGCTCGTTGTCTAAGTGGAACCTAAGACACCGACCCGCCTTCAAACGACTTCGAAGCTGATTATCAATCCAAAGAACTGGAATCTATACAGCAAACAAGAAACGGATTGATTGGCAAATACATGCACTCACCTAGATAATCAATAACCAAAGTGCAAAAACACTTATCTATGGCTATCAGGTAGCGAGCTGAATAGAATTGTGAAGTGAAGCCGAAAATGCGGATCCACCCATGTGTCTTTGTGGCCGTGGCTAGCGTAATCGCTATTTTAAACAAACTAACGGAGGGGAGTATACTACAGATACCTTTAATAACAGAATATTCACTATTGAGGACAAAAGATAAAACCCAGGACCAGAAAGTGGATGAAGCTCACCAAGACAAAAAGTTACGTCATGAGTACGCCCGGGCGCGACTCCTTTATCAATGGCGCATCTCGCCTTTACTTACCTGCCTCGAAGTTACGGTTAATATTATATACATAGGATAGGGCTCGGTTATTATAAGAAGGCTATCGGCCTCAGTAACTCAGGCTCTGAAGATGTTCAATATCACCAAAGACAGGACTATATAATAACGATTCGCACTAAGCACATAATATATATATTTGCCAAGGTACAGGCCAGGAACAATAGATATATGGCAGCCTAACGCCTTATTAAGGCTCGAGGGCCCCTGCTCTCCCTACTGACTAGCCGTGTACTATAGCGCTTATAGGATACATTCTAGTAAGCCGAACCCCTTGCTCATAGCAGTTTTCATAATATTAAGCGCAACCGAGCATGGTGACACTTACATACATAGTGCAACTTGATAATTGGGTAACCCGTAGAGTTTACATAATGGAAAGATAGCATAATTAGGCTATCAGTATCGCCTAATTAAGCAATTGCATGTACGTACTCCATATTACGCAAGTTGCACTGCATGTGTTACCATACTCGGCCGGGCCTATCCTTATGAAACTGCTGTAAATATCAGCCTTGTGGTGAAATATATCTAGCAGAAAATCAGGTGTTGAGAAGTTCGTATAATTAGAAGACGCTGAACAAAGATAGTATGAAAGCAAAAACTTAAAACTAAATCACATTAATTCCCATTATTCTCTCCATAGTTATATCTGCTCCCGTCCATTATTCTTCTACTATTCCCTCCCCCTCCTCTTCCTCGTGATTTCAATGCTAACTAATCTCAACTACATGCAGCTCGATCAACATTTAATTCTAACCTCACTGTGCTAGCCTCAACCACACCGCGCTGCATCAAAAACTGCTCCACTTCAGACCCGATTTGATCTGTAGTACTCGTACCCACAGATAAGTGGCAATCCTCAGAATCGTCATCGCATTTGTAGCAGCGGATGTGATCGCAAGATCCATTCTGGCATAGTTTACAGGATTCCGAATTACGGCTACCGCAGAGATGACACATCCAGTTGATGTATGGGCAAGGAGGAGCCTGTGTTGTAGTATCTGTGGCAGTTCCAGATATAGGAGATATGGTGTTTGTAGGGCACATGATTTGATATTGAGTTGAGGGTGTTGTTTCAAGATTATGATCGTGCTTTGTGATTCTTAAGATGAACGAGCTGTATTTCTGACTTGTGTTTGCAGTCTGAGGGAGCCCAAGGCCTGGATAACAAAGGCAGCGAGAAGAAGGGGAAATGGTAGGATCTTTATACTCAAGAAATGGCCCCTGTGAAGTAAGCTCAGTACTCCCTGTAAACTGCGCGCCAATGTGCGAACACGCCTTCTTACCCGCGCCCCATATAATATACTGCCTCTTGCGCCATATATGTACATGCTTCCACGGACCTTCTTTGAAGAATATTGTGATTGTTCCATTCCTTTGTTTTTCTCATGCGTGATGCTCGTAGTACAATACTTGGTTGGAGGACGTTTTCGAGTGATAGTTGGTGATTCTAAAAGGGGCCAATGATCATAACCTCGGCAATCTCATGAAAGTACCGATTGGGCGGTTCCAAGGCACTCTCGGTAGACCTAATATTTGGAGTCACCCAACTGGGCGCAATCAATTGCGGCTGCATTTCAACGATCCTATATGTATCATATCAGGCCGCTTTTAGTCTAGCCTTATGATCATCACACCCGGTTTGGGGCCTGTTCCAAGTCAGTAGGGCAACAAAATACAGGGTAGTCTGGAGTATTTGCAAATACCTTTGGAGGATAGCTACATGTACCGTACATGCCTGAAGTCTTATCCGTACTCAGCTGATAATTGTCAAGACTCATGATCATATGACACATATGAAAACAACACCAACTGTTGTTATCTGAGGTATGTAGTTGGTGATTGGCAGGTACATGATATTATTATGACCATAATAATTCCCGGGTGGTACACGGTACGTACTGCGCAAAGGAGGCGCGCGGTGTTACTATTGAAGCACTGCTGACACAGCAAGATCGAGGATCCGACCGTGGGGCACGCATGCAGGCCCCAGTTACCCGGGCGGAAAAATTCTTTGCATCCACAAAATCAGACTACACCTTCCCCGCAACTCATTAACATCACGATGCCTCCTCGACCACGGCACAATCCGCTCCCTTCCTCTCTCTCCTTATCCTCTCGCCCCGCTTCCCAACCTCAAAAATGTCTCCTTGCGCACACCCGTTGCTTCTCGGCAACGCCCTCGGCTGCTGCACGTAAGGGAGAACCGCGCCCTATAGGGCCAGCGCAACGAACGGAATTCTTCAATTGGATCAATGGGCCTGGCGCTGTCTTCAAGCAGGCGGGCGAGGAGGGCCCGAAATACCTCAGCTCTTATGATAAGCGGACGTGGGAACGGAAGGATAGGACTAGCAACGTGCCGTATCCTATGAACCCGGCGTTCAAGAGTACGCCTGTGTTGAGCAATGAGATGAGGGAGCAGATCTACAGGAGAGTGGAGATTGAGGGGGCAAGTGTTAGGAAGGCTTCTGCGGAGTTTGCGGTCAGT